TATATATATATATATATATATATTATCTATATATATTATATATATATTATATATATATTATCTAATATATATATATACATACATACATATACATATATATATATATATATATTCACCGTTTTATTAATTTACAATTTTATCGTCATCAATGTAAATCTTGACGCGTTATAATATCATATGCATCATATTCACCACCGGTCGAAGATGTCCTTGTTCGTAATCGATATTTTACTCGTTCTTCGAACGATCCGATCCTCCATTTCTCTCGGATCATTACACGCCTGAGATCGTTACACGTCACACGTGTTTTTAGAGCTTACAAAAAAAGAAAGAAAGAAAGAAATAAAGATAAGCGTGCCGCGTATAAAAACTCTCGTGGACAATTTGCTTCGCGTACGAACGGGACGGACGCTTTTGCGACGATTTTTTAAAATGGAGCTCGCTTCGACTAATATTGCAAAATATATTTTGCAAAATTTTTCTAAAACTGTTTCTCGTATCGATAAATAATTTTTCGACGTAAGGGAAACTTTTTAACGTATAACATTTTTTATATAGTTCTAATATGAATTCGTAGCCTGCCGTATAATAATCGATATTTTTTCTATCGATGAATCCTTGCAAGAATCGGATCGTTCGAAACGTGTCCGCACGCGCGCGCGCACGCGTGCCCTCTTCGTTTCTCGTTACCAGGTGTTCATCATTGATCCGCGAACGAAAGATTGTTTTTTATGATTCCTCGTTGAAACGACTGCGATAATTTCATAGTATTATATACAAGAAGAAAAGAAAAGAAAAGAAAGAAAGAAAGAAAGAAAGAAAGAAAGAAAGATAAAACGTGTAAACGAACGAAAAAATACGAAACAACAAGAAACTTGGTATTTCTCTTCCGCGAGGAGGTTTTTTTATTCGACGATAGAAAAAAAAAAAGAAAGAAAGAAACGAAATTAAAATTTCAATACAATATTTATTTTTCCTCGCGTGGATTTTCAATCCGATTTATACAGTTTCTCCTACTTTGAAATTTTAAATTATCAAGTATTAAGTAATAGAATACATATACGTGTTTAATTTAAATTAAAGTGTGTGACGCGTATGATAATTCAGTAATTCCTCGCGGCGGAAAAGATACCACGATTTCTCAGAATTGGCTCAATTATTTAAGATAGCGAAACCCATTATAGGAAATGGAAATATACGAATAGAAAGCAAACCGGTGGCTGATGCCATGTCAGAAATGTCTTGTTCGTGTCTTGGAAAAGGAAAAAAAAAAAGAAAAAAAAAAGAAGAAAAAAAAAGATAATAATGAATAATGCTCCTTGTATACGCATGTTATGGTTAATCTGCGCACGTTCTATCACAACGTGATTGTTTCATCTTGCCTCCATAGAAGTTATCGTAAACACGCGCTATTCACCGGTACGCATACCGATCACGAGTACGATGAAATCGAAATATTTCCTTCTCTCTCTCTCTCTCTCTCTCTCTCTCTCTCTCTCTCTCTCTCTCTCTTTTTTGATTTTTTTCAATCCCGAAGTATCAATATGTCTTCGGTCGTGTTGCATTTATCACTTTAATCAATTTCAATTTCGCGCTCATCATCGCGTTCATTCTATCTATCTATCTATATATTTACTATTGATACTATTTTTACGTAATATTTTTTTTAATCAAGACGATAAGTTATCAAATGAATTTCTGCTCAAAACAAGTTCTCTACTACTCTCGACAACAACTTTGTTGCCTTTTTTTTTTTCATATTTCTCGATTCACAATTTCGCCGGACTCGTGGTCGCGAGCGCACATACGAAAAAAAAAAGAAAAAAAAAAAATAATCAACACGAGAACTATACACACAGACCTTGGGCCTACTAGCCTAAGGATACTTGTCCATACTATAAGACTTAACTAACGATGGGATACTTCATACGGTAAACAATGTATATTATTTGCGGTTAAGGAACTGGGGGTAACGGTTCCTGTATTCCCCGGACATCATCGTACACTTGTCTCTGTGTTCAATTGGACGGTCGATGAGGTCGCAACCGCGAAAAAGAGATAGAGAAAAAAGATAGAAAAAAATAAATAAATAAATAAATAAATAAAACAAGAAGAACGAAGAAGAAAAATAGAAAAGAACCTCGCTAAATTATGTTAAGTGAATATTTCATATCATTTTTTGGTCTACGCGTGTATTTCGTATTATTATATGAATACCGAATGGGGGAAATATCTTTTCGATTCTTCCTTCGCGTATGTAAACTCATTATAATTTCGGACGTTTACGCGCGAAATGTTATACTTTTGAAGTTACCGTTTTTAGTATAGTGCAATAACGAAGAGAAAGAGCGTAACGTGTTAGCATTTAAACCGATTTTACGTTAATTCCTTTTCTCTCTTTCTTTTCTTATTATTTCTCTTCCCCTTCCCTTTTCTCCTAGGCATATCTCCTAATCTCGATTAATTTCGCACTCTTATGTTCCTATATCCTCTCTCGTTCGACAATCAATTCTGTTTTCCCTTTTTTTCTTTTTTAATTTTCTTATTTTTAGCCCGTAAATATTATCTACTTCCCGCGGAGAATTCTTTTCTTGTCGCCTCCTATTTATTGTTAGCGTGTACATACGAATGGTAGCGTCGAGTCGAATGTTAAAGAACGACGAGGAGAGAAAGAACGTTGCGTCAAGAGAAAAAGCGCCGAGTTGGACTGTCTATTATATTGCATTATATATAAGTATATATAAATATAAATATAAATATAAATATAAATAATATAAATATAAATATAAATATGTATATTGTATAAAATGAAATGTGCACCGATGTCTGGGAGTACAGCAGCTGCTTACGGGAGAGCTATGCGTTGGATCAGCAAGACTTAGGGCATTATACTACCCGCGAGTATTATCATGCCCAACCTTTAATATTTAAGTGCGAGTGAGAGTCTATTGAGCAAAAGTAAAAGAAAAAAAAAAGATGAAATTTAAAAATATAAAAAATACATATGCCTCTCGTTTGTGGGTTTAACTTTGTACATATTGTACGAAAAGGTTTAATAATAACTACGTTGAAAGTACTAGTCCTGTCTCTTTGTATAATTCCGTGTTATACCTGTTCTTATATAGTGTCAAGCGGCGCCACAGTGTTCCTAATTGCGCGATTGTTGTAAAATTGAGCTTCTGCGCATGAAATCATGCAACGTATACATATATACAGATATACATATATATATATATACCGTTTGAACTTTTATAAGGGAATAATATAGACATATTTTTTCACTCCATCGTTTAAATTTCAATTATTCGAATATTCAAAATGATGATAAAAACTTGTATTTCTTTCGAAACGATTAATAACGATCGAAAAATTATTAATATAGAATAATATTTGTCAAACTGACATCGAAATAAACGTTAAACGTTGATACGATTAATTTTAAATTAATTTTTGTACGTAAATTTCTAAATTAAGATTTATTATATATTTCACTCACCGATATATTTTCTTCTATCGTCGATCTTCATCAAGATCCGTATAAATCCACTAATATTTCGTTATTGCTTCGTTAAAATCACAACACTTTCTCCGAAATTTCAAACGCGCACCATCACTTCGAATAAATCGGTTAACACTGAAGTATGCTGCTTGTCACGGTATAAATGAAGAAGCGCGAAATGCAAACGTTAACCCAAAAACGACGGGCAGAAAGAAAACACGAATGCCGGATTGGCAAGAAGAAATACTTTTTCAATGAGTGAGTCAAAGTTACCAATTTCTACCTACGTTTAGGAAATACATTTTTATCATCTCGTTTACCTTCGACTATTCCTTTTGTAACTGAGATTTGGGCGCCGCGTGAGTTACTGCTCTGCCGGGAACCGAATGCTACGTTACTGCTAATCATTTTTCAACTTTTGCGCGCGAAATTCAATATCTCGTTGATTTAAATATAAAAATATTTGTTAAATTATTTCAAACAACATCTTTTAAATTCTTATGCTGATTCGATTAACGATAATTTATTTATAATAATTATAATTATTTATAATTTTGATCTTTACACTGAATATACTTTCTTTTATTTATTTATTTTTTTTAAATAAACGATAATTCCACATCATATGGATTTGATTTAAATATTATTGATGCATTTTATATATTTTATATATTTTATAATTTTTTAAAGAATTTTGTTCAAAGAAATTATTTTTAAATATTTCGTTACAAATTCTTCTATTTGTAAATTTTGCAAATTTAGTTTAAAGTTTAAATTTTATTATTAATTCAAACACAGAATTTATATGTGTAGTTGAAATAACTCCGTAATTTCATAATATTTAAAAGAACAATATATATTGAAAACAGACTGAAAATTTTCCAAATAATTTGCCTTGTTAATTTTACATTAATACATCAAAATCAAATATTTTACTAATTAATTAAATATTCTAGTCGATGAAAAAGAAAATGTGTATATACTTTTATATAAATATTTTGCAAAAATTTCCATTTTAATTTTTTACTTATTTTTGATCCTTAATCAAGATTTCATTAAATAATTCAGTTTACCTGTTGCATTTTCACTGCATTTCGTTTTTCATATAATCAGAATAATTCTAAAAATTATTTGATTTTCATCAAATCGTTTTATTCAGTGACGATGATTATATATTAAAACAATGTGATTATATAAAAGAATATAATACAACGAGAAATAGAACGCGCTTACAAGATTGTAATCGAGCAGAAAAATCGTCGAACTTGTTTCCATAATTATATGTACATAGATGATGTTGAGAATCATAATAATAAATTCGTTGTTATTGCAAGAATTGAGAATTGTAAGATATAATATAATGTTGTTCATCCGACCAATAAAATCGGAAGCTATCGGTTCCGGGCAAAACAGGTTAGACTTCACAGGTGGCGCGTAAACCCCCTGTATTTTTATGAATAAATAAGATATTTTAAAAAAAAAAAAAAAAAAAAAAAAGTAAATCTGAAGTCTGTTTGGAGATGCCTTTCATAGGGATTATAAATGTAGATAATATATTATACATAATGAACATAAATACACTATATTATTATATATAAATAGTAAGGAGTAAATAGAATTATTATATATACGATGAAAATAATATTATTACAAGTAAATAAACTAATTAAAGATGAACAAATTTGATGATATCTTTATTATTCCATACCCATATTCCATACCTACATACGATAACTTTTTCCTTCGATATTTCACGATACATATATATATATACGCGTATATATATGTTTATGTATGTGTATGTGTATATATATATATATATATATATATATTTGTACTTTATTTATGACAATAATAACGGGAGTATTATTGATAATGTCAGTTGCAATTTTTGCGCATTTTTATTACAGACGTTTCATTACATTAACATAACAAAATCTATACTTTCAAGGTACATGATCGTTTAAAATGTTGTCTACCTGTGAGATCTTTAAGAATTATGCGCAGTGTTCAAGCTCCTGCACAGAGAACATTTATTAAGCTAAATTAGTCTCATTATTTAATGTCATTGTTTTATTTATTCCCATGAACTTACCGATCGCAAGCGCTTGGACACTTCGATAAGATTAAAGCGATCACAGACAGAGGCATTTCAAAGGTGATTGCTGTGAATACCTAAGTAGACACAGAGGCTAATACTTTTACGATTTCTAGGATATCCGTACTACGTAGGCATTCTCACGCATTATCACCGTTTTACGATAATAGAGGCTGCAAAACCGACAAATCGAGTTTGTAACGTAAACTCCGTGTCTTGCCTTGTGTAATGATCTATCTAATATAATATCGATAATGTAATTATATCGATAAAGCAGTGATTAATGTAAAATCGTATAATTGCATATTGTAACAATCTGAATATATTATATATATATAACTCGTATTTTTTTTTTTTTTTTTTTATCGATAATATTGTAAAATGTAAAAAGTATCATGTAAAGCAATCATCGAATTGGACGCCAAAATATCTTACGAGATAATAATAAAGATCGAAATATGATAAAAGAATTATTAATAATATTTTCTAAAAAAGTGAAGTGAATTCCTTATACCACGCTCTTGTTAAGCTCTCTGTTATTTATATGATCCGTCCTAGTTCGTCTATGATTATCCATAGTCAATAGAAAGTATTTACTTCTAGTAGACCGTCGTGTTATAGTTCTGAAGGCACTGTTCAAAAGTTGACTATTTTTTTTTCTTTTTTTTTTTGAAATAACAAGTCTTCAAAACATCTTCAAACGATCCGACATGGAAAATCGTTACAAACATCGACGCAATTTTCACATGCCCCGCTTGAACTATATCACAAAACTCAAAATAGAGTAGTTTCAACTTGACAGCCAGTGCCAATGCCAATGCCATATTTATCGGGTCTGTGATCGGTTAGGAATATCATGAGCTAGCAAATCGATGGTCAGAATTCAGGCTTATGATACGCAATGGCCGGTGCGTTCCATTAATTATGTATCAATATCGTATCATTATATTACACAAACGCTTATTAATTTAGAGGCACATTGCTAAGGGTCTTGGTTCTTAAAAGTTGCTCCCTACATTAATGACAACTTATGACAATCTAGCTATTATAATTATTCAGTACGACAGCGATTTGGCATATAATATGGAAACTGTACAAGAGAATATAAGAGAATATAATAATATTCAAACTATTGCTCTGTACACATAAAAGTAGAACATGGCTAAAAAGGCCGATATATTGTGAAAAAATTTTTTATAGTTTTAAGATGTTTCGCAAATTTGTATTTTGAGCTTATGAAGAAGAAGAAAAAAGAGAGTGAAATATAAAATTGTCGTGTGCAAAAAAAAAAAAAAAGAAATAATAATAATAATAATAATAATAATAACAAAACTTCTATTATATAATACAATTTTTCTACTGAATTTCCTTACCTAGGTAGGAAAACTTTGGCTACTGCTACATACTATTTGTACCTCGACAGAACCGCCGACTTTATGCTGCTAAGAACACTGATTGCGCATCTAGAATAAAAAGAATTGCACGCAGCACACACAGTATCTAAACCAGAAACAGATCAATTACATACTCAGGAAGACCTTAACAGTAGTATATATGCTCACGCTTTAATAAACCTGAATTCTACGCACAACGATCATAATATCAATTAAGCATTCACTATACTCAGAGATTCTTCCATTTTGGAATATTTAAATGGTTTTTCATTTATGGTTATTCATTACTGAACCATTTGTTGTTTATGTTCATAACTTACTTAAAAGCTCTTAGCCTTTAGAACAATACGTTCACGATATCGCTCTGAGATGCGAATGCTCTACAGAATGTACACAGTAGACAGCAAAAGCGTCTAGACCACAGTGTTCACATTTATTTCAATGCGAAACATTTTTCAAACTAGGGGAATCAGGCTGATGCAATGGCAGGCGTTTGACATATATATATATATATATATATACACACATGTATATACATATATATACATGTATATATATATATATATATATTTTTTATATATGTATATATACATATATAAAAGTTAATTCCTTAACATACAAAAATGGATAAATTTCCTAAAAAACGTGTAAGAACAATTCCCTGAATAGGTAATCACATGATAATCCTGTTCTCCAAATGACACATGTTCTTTTATAAAAACATAAAAAAAAATTTGTTTTAAATTAAAATTCTAAATAATGTATCATAGTTTAATACATTTTTGAAATTTGATGCTCCGTCAAAGTACCAGCCTGTATCCATCAACGTGAAGAAACAGTCATGTAATTCCGTAACGTCTAGACGCAGATATCACTTTCCTGCATCCAAACAAATGGAGCACTAGGTTAGATCACAAAAAGTATGGTGTAATATTTAAAGGTGGAATTACTCTTTCGGAATCAGGCACTGCCTGGAATAGCACTGGATTTCTTTGATCAACAGTTGTGAACTGTAAAATACTAGCTACATTACCACAGCGATAACAATAATTTGGAGCTGACCATACTGTTACAAGTTTATCATTAAACATATATCTATAACCTGTAAATAAAATCGAAATATATAAAATATAATCATAAAATTTTTCTTGCATTATTCTTAGTTATTTATTATTTATATACCTTCATGAACCAATTGATGAGCTCTACAAATAAGTTTAAGATCGTTGATTTCCATAAATTCATATGTTACTTTACTTCCAAATAACCAACCTGCTCCACGCGGACTAATAGTCCATGATTCTACATCTTCTGGATCGGACCAAACTAAATCACAAAAAGCACCTATAACGAAAATCAAAATAGTGTAAAAAGCTTCAATACATTCAAAAAAATAATAATTTTAAAAAACTTGTATAATACCTTTATGTGGAATTTCTCGATTTCTTTCAATTGTCCTAATTTGATCTAACGTTCTAATGGCTGGAGATAATCCACCATGCACACAAAGTACTTGATCATCAATTAACTAAAATTAAATAAAAATATTTGTATTTATATTAAATATATTAATCGAGTATTAAATTCATTTATTATTTACAAATACTAACGGCAGCAACTGCGAGTAAGTCGAACACCTTACAACAGTATTTCCATGCATTAGCATTGCCATATTTGTTTTGACACTCATCTGCATATGACATAACAAGCTTAATCACCATAAGTATTAGACATGCACAGTAATAGATTATTATTAAATATATTTTTTAAAATATATTGCATGAATGTAACAATTTTTATAATATATACTATAATATATACTAACCATAAAAACCATAAACATGGGTAATTTGTCTGGATTCATGATTTCCACGAAGTAATGTTATTCTATCAGACCATTTAGCTTTAAGTGTGAGTAGGCGGGTAAATGTTTCTACACTATAATACCCTCTATCTACAAAATCTCCCATAAATATATAATTTGTCTCAGGCACAGCGCCTCCATTACGGAATAATTCTTCTAAATCGTAAAACTAAAATAAAATAAATAATTATAACAATTATCAAACATTTTAGTTCGGTCAACATCGTTATCTCTAAAGATATCGATATCATATTGAGGTTAGAACAAAACTATAAAACTTACCTGACCATGAATATCTCCACAGACTGTTACCGGTGTAGATACTGGTTGAATATTAGATTCTTCTAATAATATGTCACATACCAAGTCACAAAGTTTCTAAACAAAATTAATTTAATTGTTAAGAGACAAACAGAGATTTCAAATAACCTATGAATATATATTTAATTTATCATCATATATAATAACAAGATATAACATAATTGAGATCATACTAAACAATATTTCTTATATATTGTTTACCTTAAGATCATTTTCGGGAAGATATTTGCATTCTTTTGCAAGTTCCATCCATTTATCGATGTCTGACATTTTGGACTCGTATCGTAGGAAAATACTGATCGCGCCCTCACTTACATATGTGTACACTGAATTTATAGTTGATTTATATTTTTATAAATTGTTTTACCGAAATAATTTCAATTAAATTTCCAATTTTTATTCATTTTACTCATAAAACCTTCTATTAAATATTCTATTTAACAAGGAATTACTTCTTTTCATCGCGTTAGACGCGAACTTAATTAACCTACTATGAAGAAAAATTAAAAAACACCAACTTTTATTCCCCACAATCCTTTCATATTATTGGTTCTAAATTATCTTTATAAAAAGGGAAATTATATTCAAAATTGAAAATTTTTTATCAAAAATATATTGAAATACATTTCCACTGTCAATGTCAATAAATACAAATATATCATGTCAGTATAGTTATTTTAACAATTTTAAGCATTCAACAATTTTGAAATAGATATTAGTTTTTAGAACACATGATATATCATCCAATAACAACATCGTTTTAATAAATTCTAGTAACTTTTGTTTTACTTTTGTACGTTTTAAAAGAAAATTTTAAAAAATATGTGATATTTAAAAATTTGATTATGTAAAATCAGATAAAATTTAATATTTATTTCATTTTGATTATATTTTATAAAATATATTAATAAAATAAAATTATATTTTATAAATATTCCACTTATTGAAAAATAACTATATTATATTTATTGAAAAGTAACTATGACTGGTATATTTAAAACTAAAAAAAATTTTTTTTTCATCTTTGATAAAATATCTAAAATAAATATTGATACTTTAAATGTATCATATATAATCTTTTATTACATACATACAATAATTTAAAATAATAATAATATATAATGCTATCAATTAAAAACCAATTATTATGGTGAATATTATTTTTCATTAAAAATTATAATAATATAATAAATATTATTATAAGAAAATTTGTATAAATAATTCTTTCATAAAAATATTTTTTTTAACATAAATGTTTATAGATTAAATATTTAATAACGACACTATTACTTTTATAAATAATATAATAAGTAGAATCTAATATTCTCATTGGTCGTTGTCTATTTTCTTAACGATTGTGAATGTTCCGCGCCAATGAAAATATTTGCCGCGTAAAAATTCAAAAATCAATTGACAAATTTGAAAAGAAAATGACTGTTTATCATGATAGGATGAACGCATAACAAAAGGTATAATTTTAATTTTCTTCGATAGCAAATCATCGTGGAACGTAGAAAAAGGTCAGCAGCAGGAGTACGATATGGATTTTATCTCACGACGAAAAGTGGGTCACATCAAAAGCGCCTGTGCGCACGCTTCGATTATCGATTGAAACGTTACGTGCCTTGAGTTCGTACGCTGGATCTCATTTATGTGAATGCAGTGACTGTGGATGTTCGTAGTGTGACTTTCTCGCAGTAGGCCAGTGGCTGACATCTTTCGTTTGTGGTCCGTGCATGATCGTGAGTTTCGGAAAAATGCGGTGAAATTCAATATACAGCGACGTGCCTTCGCGAAATCGGCCATTTTGATAGTGCGTGTTTCGCGAAAACGATAGGATCACTTTTGGCAGCTACCCTCAACGGTTGTGCGTGAAAGTGGTGGCAGCTCGGTGTCGCCCACAGGACACAGCCGTAAAACTGAAAACGATCGTGTTCTTGGGCTAGTGAGCAGTCTCAACAAAATGGCAGGAAACGCGGGTATGGAACAATTAATTCCGATTGTGAATAAGCTGCAGGATGCCTTCACACAGCTTGGGGTGCACATGCAACTTGATTTACCACAAATCGCAGTAGTAGGTGGTCAGAGTGCAGGAAAAAGTTCTGTTCTTGAAAACTTTGTTGGAAAGTAAGTATTTAATGTTCTGTCGTTTCATCGTTTTTCTTTTTTAAAACATTTTCAAATCTTTTGTGGATCAAGAATTCAAACGTTTGATTAAAGGCGTGGCGAACTACGCCACATTATAATTTTAATATCCGTCATCAATTATTTTAATTTGAATATCCATCTTTTCTATATTTCTTTAGGTTAACTATTTTAATCGATCGATCTTGTCATCAAAATTAACTATATCTTTATAATTCGTGGCCGCCTACACAGTGACCTGTCAAATGATATTCTTTCCCATTGGTGTAATATTTAACCTTCTACTGAATTGCTTGAAGTATACACATATAACGAAGAAAATTATTAATGCAATTGTTCTCAGTTTAGGTCATTTAATGATGTTTTCTATTAATTTAGCCTAGTTTAAAACTATGAATATATATATATATATATATATATATATATATATAAATTAATAAAGATATTAATTTCAATACAATTTTATACATCTTTTATATGTTATATATTAAATGTAATTTTATTATTTTAGAATAATTTTTATAATAGTATAGCTGATTAAAATTAATTTATAAATAATTTATAATTTATAAATAAATAATAAAAAAAATGATAAATGATACTTGAATATAAAGGTATAATATAATTATACCTTATATTGATATATGTTGTATTATATCTTTATAATACAACATATATCAATTTCTAATTTTTTTTTATGTTTCAAGTTTTAATATTAAAAAAGGAGAAATATTCATTTTATTGTTATTTAAATTTTTTCTTTTTTTACTATATTTCTTTATATAAATTTATGTTATCATATGATATATTTTTTAGTATTCTTTGATATTTCTTTTTTATATATATTATATATATATATATATATATATTTTTTTTTTAGAAAAGTACAATATTTTTTTGTTTCCAGGGATTTCTTACCTAGAGGATCTGGTATTGTAACCAGACGACCACTTATCTTACAATTGATTAACAGTACAACTGGTGAGTCATCATAGATAAATAGATTATAAATTTTATATTGAATAAAATATATATTTAAATATGTATAAATACATATGTATAAGAAATATACATATAAATATAATATATAAACATGGAAATTTATGAATAACAATTATTTCTAATTATTGATTTTATTAAACATAAAATTAAAAATAAACTAAAGAATGTTAAATTGTATAATAATATTTGTTATTTATTTTAATCATTTATATCATATTGTTTTTTTTTTTCTAAGAAATATTAAATTTTAATATAAATTTTAATAATTTCACATATTTTGAGGTTTAATATTACTTATCTATAAGTGTTGTCTATAGAAATTATCACATTTCCTGTAACAATGAACTTTTGATAAATAAGAAATCAAGAATATTTTAATTATTTAAAATTTTATATGTTAAAAAAATATAAGGTCATACAATATTATCATAAAATATAAATTATTTTTTTATTATAGAATATGCTGAATTTCTACATTGTAAAGGTAAAAAGTTTGTGGATTTTGATGAAGTACGGAAGGAAATCGAAGCAGAAACAGACAGAGTTACAGGCAGTAATAAGGGTATTTCTAATATACCAATAAATTTAAGAGTATATTCACCTAATGGTAATTATAATATTTTATTATATTTTATATTGGTTTACATTAATGTCTTGATTAAAATATATTTATTTTTATTAGTTTTGAATTTAACATTAATTGATTTACCTGGCCTCACAAAAGTACCAATTGGAGATCAACCAGTAGATATAGAAGCTCAGATTAAAGCTATGATTTTTCAGTTTATTAAAAGAGAAAATTGTCTTATATTGGCAGTAACACCAGCAAATACTGATTTAGCAAATAGTGATGCTCTTAAACTTGCTAAAGAAGTAGATCCTCAAGGTATTTATTTATATTTGATATTTAATATTAATAAATTCAATGAATATTTTTTATATTTTTTTAATTTTTTTAAGGTGTACGTACAATTGGTGTTATTACAAAATTAGATCTTATGGATGATGGTACTGATGCAAGAGATATTTTAGAAAACAAATTATTACCTTTGAGACGTGGGTATATAGGTGTTGTTAATAGGAGTCAAAAAGATATAGAAGGTCGAAAAGATATAAAAAATGCTTTGGCAGCAGAAAGAAAATTTTTCTTAAGGTATGGATCAATAATAAGAAATAATTGCATTAATAAATTATTTAATAAAAATATCTAAAATATTTCTTTATATATTAGCCATCCATCTTATCGGCATCTAGCAGACAGATTAGGAACACCATATTTACAACGTGTATTAAATCAGCAATTAACAAATCATATCAGAGATACTTTACCAGCATTAAGAGATAGATTACAAAAACAATTGCTTACATTGGAAAAAGATGTAGAACAATACAAACATTTCAGACCTGATGATCCTGCCATAAAAACTAAAGCTATGTTACAGTAAGTAGTTTCTTAATATGTATTATTATATATAAATTTATAATTTCTTCAATTGGAATAACTTTTATCAAATAATAGAAAATAAAATGAACCTTAATGACAATAATATATAATAATTATATCCTAAATAAATATATCCTATAATAAACATATATCTTCATAAACTAAATAAAATTTCTTTAAAATTAATTATGGGTAGAGGGTCCTGAAATTTTAGAATTTTTATTATTTTTCAGATCAATTCAAATATTTATGTAGGTATCATATTTTTGTTCATTTGTGTGTATTTGCATGAAAATTTTAATGCATAATGTATTTTTATATAACCAACTAAAGAGTGAAAAATAATAATTTTATTAACATAAAAGATCTTAATATATTAATGAATCATTTATTATTTAGCTTTACATTACTAAATATCATGACTCTCTGCCCATAGAACTAACATTAAGAATTAATGTTTGTGTATATATTTATTATATATTAATTGAAAGAAAAATATTTTTAAGGATGATACAACAACTTCAGTCAGATTTTGAAAGAACTATAGAAGGTTCAGGATCTGCACAAATCAATACAATGGAGCTTAGTGGAGGTGCAAAAATAAATAGAATATTCCATGAACGTTTTCCATTTGAAATTGTCAAAATGGAATTTGATGAGAAAGAATTAAGAAGAGAAATTGCTTTTGCTATTAGAAATATTCATGGTAAATGATTATTTTAATTTTGATAGCATTCTCAATTTCTATATATCAAGATAAACGAAAGTTGTTATGCTTATAAAAATAAGTTTTTAACAATAGTATAATGCCATAGGTATCAGAGTAGGTTTATTTACTCCCGACATGGCCTTTGAGGCAATAGTCAAGAAACAAATCAATAGACTCAAAGAACCTAGTTTAAAATGCGTGGATTTAGTTGTACAGGAACTTAGTAATGTTGTACGCATTTGTACTGATAGGGTGGGTAAATTTATTTTTAATTTAAAAAATTTTAAATGATGTTTAATATAATTTTTTTTTTTTTTTTTTTTTTTTTTGTATATTAGATGTCACGTTATCCCAGATTGAGAGAAGAAACGGAACGTATTATAACTACTCATATTAGACAACGAGAACAATTGTGTAAGGAACAATTGATACTTTTGGTTGACTGTGAACTAGCATATATGAACACGAATCATGAAGATTTTATTGGTTTTGCCAAGTAAGTTACCTACATTTTGTTATACATTTTTGTAGCTACTCAGCAAAATCAAAACAAATAATATAATAGAAGAGTTTTATTTTTAACAATCGCACATTTTAGCGCTCTATGTTGCTCTTATTCATGACTGCAGCTATAGATTTTACTATGTTCATATCTACAAAGTTTATTATTTCACATATAATAAATCTAAAATATTTCATAAATGTAATAAATAATATTTTTATTAACATGGAATTATTGTTTATATTTTTTAATTATTGTTTATAACAAACTTGATATATATATATATACTATAACATGAAATAATAAAATGATTTTATCTTACATTTATATAATGTTGGTAATTAGAAATATAATATAATTATGATTCTTGCTATTAAAGATATAATATTTTTTTAATATTTCTTTAATAACAAATATTGTAATGAAATGTTTTATTTCTAATTATACTGAATTTTTTAAAGAAAAAAATTTAGAAAAGGATTTTTCTAAATTGCAGTAATGAATTTTTTATTGCATGACTAATGTAAATTCAACACATAGTATAGTTCTCATAACGACAGTGTGCTTTATTAATACAAACACTATATTTTCAAAAAGTCTCATTAGTTCCGTTATGATTAATTTAAGCTTTTTATAAAATAAAAAAATGATTAAACAAATTCATCAACTATATATACTAGTTATATTAGTTTGCTTGCAAAATTTTTTTATGCAAATTAAAAATTATATATATTGATATATATTTAACATTATATCAATATATATGATATTTTTTATACCGTATTTTTCTGAAGTATTATAATTCAGAATATAATAATTTATATTTTTAAAAAAATTTATATTTAATATAACATTTAATAGTACTATTAGTTATACTTACATAACTTATATAATCAGATTTATACGGTATATTTTATTATCAGTGCATGTCTTGCTAAAATCAATTCACATTGCAAGCTTCAAAGTAGCAAATATTCTTAGTTTATTTTGTTCTTTAAAGCTAAGACACACATTTTTAGTATCATTAATAAATAATAAAATTTTTTGGTATTTTTTCTATTTCATACATTTATATGTATGATATATTTTGTCATATTTTTTGTCGTATTAAATTATATTTCACTTATATCTTTTTCTTTCTTTTTCTTTTCTTTTCTTTTTTTTCTCTCTTTCTCTCTCCAGTGTATTTATAATATTTTAATTTTCTTTTTAGATATTTTTTTATTTTCACTTATTTGACACTTCAACATATTCAAAATTATAATTCTTAAAGATATTACGAAAAATAGGTTGAAAAAAATATCAAAAATACTGATATTTTTAACAGCTTTAGTTTAATATTTATTCTATATCAAATATATAACATTTTATTTTACTTTACAATTTTTTAAATCATGTTTTATAAACTATAGAAAAAAATTTTATATATAATTTTCTTTATGTTATATTGTTTAGAATAATTTTTTGAATTAAGAAATAAGAATATTATAACTCTTCTAAAAAATTTTATGTCAGTAAAGGTAAGGCATACTTAATGTAAAAAACTATCTATGATTAACAATTGTTTTAAATATGTATTTTGTACTTCTTTTATATTTGCTATATTAACAAACGTATGTCTTTCCTTGAACTACATGGTATATACACATTTCCTGACATTTGTTTTCATTCATTGATACTTTATATTTCACAATTAAAAAAATTATTTAATTATATCGGCAGCGCGGCAGCCAGTAGCCATAATGCAAGGTAAGAATTATAAAAATACATTGGAACAAAGATTTACACTACATTTTTCTTCTTTTTTTATTATCACGCTCTTAATTTGTTATGCTTATTTTTTATTTAACTTTTTCTAGCTTTCAGTTTTACAAAAAAAAAAAAAAAACAGAATCATTAATAAGCAATATTAAATATATTTCCCATATAGTAAAAATTGAAAGTTATATTTTTCTAGTCTACTTTTTTTTTCTATTCTTTAATAAAGTCAAAATCTATAAGTTTTTATTCTATATTTTATTACTAATTTATTATATAACATCATAAAAAATTAGTATTATGGATACATATACATATATATATATATGTCTTAGATCATAAGAATGGCATTTAAAATATAATTTTACTTAATTGACATATTAAAATTTAAAATTTTTTATAAAAATAAAGAAATGAACTATTATAAAACATTGAATGTCATTATAAATAAATCATCATTGGCTACATTTTTTTATCTAATTTTATATATTGTAGAGTAAGAACCATAATTTATCAAAATTTTAAGATTTTGATTTTAATATTTCGTATATAGTTGCACAATTTAAATATATAAGTAAATAGACCATTCATTGCTACAGTCATTCATGAATACTCCAAATCGTATATATTTCATACAGCAGCATAAGATTTTAGTTTTCATCATTTTTCACATGATTTCACAATATATGTAATATTTGCTTCTGCAATTTTTCATGTGTTATGATCTGCAAAAAATATATATAATGTTAATTAAGTAGGAATAATATTGTGTGTATTACATGTTATAAATAATGTTTGCATATTCAAAATATTTAATCGTAATATCTAAAGCTGTATGAAAAAGTATGTGCATGGAGTTGTTGTGGCTGTATGTTATAATTCTTATATGTAAATTGAAACAATTTAAAAGGTAAACTTGTTTTTTTTTCGACACATGGAAATGTTATTATTAATAAATTATTAATCAAAAAGTATATCTTTCATTTATAATTTTCGAATCGTTAATCATAATTATAAATCAAAGATATATAATATATGTAATTATCTTTTCTATATTGTCGTTCTGTGACGTTACGTCTCGTTTTCAATATTTTTGTATTATAAACACACATTTTGAAAAATTGAATTATTTAACATTACAGTTTATTTATGGCATACAATTAAATTTGAAGTTATGTGAACGTTTGTGTAAGTTAATATAAAAATTATTGCTAGGTTTTTATCCCGCTAGATTTTTACACAAACTAACAAATTTTTGTGGCAAGTTGTGACAATGAATTTTGTACATAGGTACCTAAATATTTTTTTCTATTTGACATTTCATTATAAATTATACCTTATGTTGCAGTGCACAACAATCTTCAGAAAATGCTGTTAAATCTGGTCGTCATACATTAGGCAATCAAGTAATACGTAAAGGATACATGTGTATCCATAATCTAGGTATAATGAAAGGTGGCTCAAGAGATTATTGGTTCGTTTTAACGTCAGAGAGTATTTCATGGTATAAAGATGAAGAAGTAAATATCTTTTAATTATAACATAATATAGTTCAAAACATGTTACTATTATTTAACTTTCATGTATTATTTCTTTGTTTAGGAACGTGAGAAGAAATATATGCTACCTTTAGATGGATTGAAATTGCGCGATTTGGAACAAGGATTTATGTCTCGGCGGCATTTGTTTGCTTTATTCAATCCAGAAGGCAGAAATGTTTATAAAGATTACAAACAGCTAGAATTAAGTTGTGAGACTCAAGATGATGTTGATTCATGGAAAGCTTCTTTTCTCAGAGCTGGTGTATATCCTGAAAAATCAACAGAACAAGCAAATGGTGAAGGAGAGGTATGTTTCTCATTATATAATATTTTAAATATGTTATATATATATATATATATGCATTTAATTAAATATATTGCATATATTAAAAAAATGTTATGATATATTTAGATCCATTGCACTTAAATGTCATTCGTTTTAATAATACTTGTTTACTTTATATATATATATATAAGACAATATATAGCTGCCAGAAATTACGTTTAAATTTATTCATATAAATCTATGTATTGCTGATATTAATTCTAAGAATGGCATGTATCACGTGTGTACCGATTCTTAATTCAAGCTCGATAAAAATATATCAATCTGTTATATAAATCTTATTTATATGCATACATAATTCATTAATTTATATATTTTAATTTTAAAGAGGAGAAATTTATTTATTATTTATTATTATATTATTTTATTTACTAGAAAAGATTATTTTGATTTATTTTAGGATAAATCAAAACAACGGTACGAGAAAAACGGTACAGTTAATACGAAAAATGTAATTAAAATATTTTATTTGATATTATATTTTTAACTGTGTGATGATGTGATTAAATCGAAAGTAGTTTATTAATAAATTATTCTTAAAATTTTTGATAAATATGATATTATGAAAATAGTTATAATATGATAAAGATGATATCACATAATGTGATGCAATAAGGATGTTATTAAGATTAACTATTAAGCTTTTATTTTAACATCGCAATGTTCATGATTTTATATTATATTAAATATAACGATTGTATTGAAAAAAATTAATTTTTTATATTTTTTGAAAATATATTTAATCTAAAAAAAATTCTTTTTTAATGTATAAATATGAATTATATAGTTATTTATATATATAGTTTGCATATTTATCAAAATTATTCTTTAAAAATTAATTAGACTCAATATTGCATTTATTATAATTAAATTTGTTTGCTTCTGATCAACTAGGAAGGATATGAGGTTCGTAAATTTGAAAAAAATTTCATAGCTTTTTTACATAAAAACACACACACTTACACAAATATAATACCTCTACCCAGTTTTGCTTTTTTAATAACGAATACAATAAAAATATGTGTTGTTTAAGAAAATATTATTTTTCTGCTAATAAACATTTGAACATAAAATCAATAACACTTTATCGAGTATCGCAATATATTTTTTCATTTATGTTAATTAAATTTAACATTAAATATTTCTTTTTTAATAATTAATGCAGGAAATGAATTATTTCTATATATTTATAGGGTGGATCAGAAGCTCAATCATCCATGGATCCTCAACTTGAACGCCAAGTGGAGACTATTAGAAATTTAGTAGATTCATATATGAAAATTGTTACAAAAACAACTCGTGATTTGGTTCCAAAGACAATTATGCTTTTGATTATTAACAATGCAAAAGATTTCATTAATGCAGAACTATTGGCACATCTATATGCAAGTGGTGATCAGGTAAAATATACACGATGTATATCTAAGTTTAATTAATTTAATTAATTCTCTTTTTTAAGTTTATTCAAAATTCCTCATTCAGGAGTAAATGTTTCATTGTATATTGTAGGCTTCCATGATGGAAGAATCGCCCGAAGAAGCACAAAAACGAGAAGAAATGTTACGCATGTATCATGCGTGTAAAGAAGCACTTCGTATTATTGGAGATGTTTCCATGGCGACAGTGTCTACTCCAGTCCCACCACCTGTGAAAAATGATTGGTTAGCATCCGGCGAAAATCCAAGGTAACAATTATGTTATTATTTTCATTGTTGCTTATGCATTTAACTAATTCGGTATCTTTCAATCTTATACTGCCTGCTTTTGCCTCGTACACTTGAACACCGTTGAAACAGTCTTGGGTAAGATTTATCATATGTTTATTATATATTAAATAAATCTATTTTATAGATTTATATTTATTTATAGACTAAAATATTACAAATTTTAAATAAAATGTTTTCTATATCATACCAATACGATGATTATTATTTATTTTATATATAAATTTGTTACAGGTTATCACCACCATCTCCTGGTGGACCAAGACGTGGAGTGACACAGCCACCCCCTCTTTCTAGTTCTCGAGCTCCACCTCCAGTTCCTACGGGTGGCCGACCAGCGCCGGCTATTCCTAACCGACCTGGACCTGGTGGACCTCCGCCAGCCCGTGCTACACCTGGCCTACCTCCTCCTCTTATACCATCGTAAGTACCATAATATAATATAATTTCGTTATAAACTTATTTTTACTTGATTAAAACAGAAGTGTTATTTTTTGAAATAATATGGAGAATATTTAAAGAGACAAATAATTTGAACAACACTCTGTATCATCGAGTATTTTTCGATTGTCGAGTTTCTCACAAATTTTGCACAACAACGTTCTATCAGTTTGTATTATAAGGTGCCTTGTCTTAACAACAAAGTGGAGGTCCTATTTTTTTTTTTTTTTTATTTTTTTTTTATTTTAACTGAATATATTTTAAAAAAACAAATTTGCAGTTGCTTGTCCTCCATAGCTTTGTGTGATTGGGGCTTTGGTGCTAACTTCACTTTCTATTGCAGGCGCCGACAATAAGTCTTCGCACTAACTCGCCTATTCGCTATTAATTATATATATATATATATATCATATATCGATTGCATCTAGTCGGTGTATATTTTACACGAGATACAATTTCCTAATGCTATATGTTTTGTTTTTTGCAAATATTAAATATTATTATCGTCAATTAGAGGTGTGTAATATAAACAGTTATACAAAACTAAGCGAAATATATTCATGAATATATTTATATTAGTTTAGAGATTAAAAAGAGCTTCCAAAAATTTTGCGAGTAATTTTATCTTCTATTGTTCATTATATATCAATATCAATAATCTATCCAATTATTTCGTGGTCCAATTATTTCGTAAGAACGACCAAGAGATCATTATCCATATTTTTTTATCATTTTTTTTCATTTTATTTTCAAGCAATTGTTGCGAATTTATCGCACATATTGTTTTCAGAATCATTCTAAATAAATATGTACAATATCTATGTAATGTAATTTGCACACCTCTAATTAAGAATTTAAATGTCTACGATACATTTAATCGATATTAGTGAGGAAAAGAAATAATATCTAAGGAATCATGGTTCATTCGCGACATATGAAAATATATATAAAAAAAAAAAAAAAAAAAATAGATAAAACGACGTTTGTTTCACTGTAAATTAGTTCAATGGAATTGTACATGATGCCTGTATATACAATTAAGAAAGAATGTTGTAAAATAAATGGTTTTGAGTTCTTATCGCAGGTGGTGGATAAGTATTCATTCGTTTACTAACAGCATGACATTTTTAATTACGAATTAGCCGCACTAATCGAATACACTTGCAAATATCATTCGCAATATTTTGATCGATATATAGAGAAAAAAAAAAAATATATCATACCAGAGGATATGATACCGCAAGTATATATGTGATATAAGATATTGCAACAACAAAGTGTTACATTTTGAAAGCTTTTTATATAAATATCACATTGCTTTTTCGCCATCGTTTCTTCCATTTGATGATTAAATACTTGAGCAGAAAAAAAAAAAAAAAAGAAAGAAAATCGATTCGAATTGTTGTCAATTATTCAATTAGGGAAGGATGTGTCGGTGCCTGCATTGAAAATATTTTTTTNTTTTATTATTATTATTAAACAAACATCACTGTATTTTGTAATTGATCGTTAAATTCGGCTAACTAGTTTGATGAATTGATGAGTAGAATAACGCGTGTGTCGCTTTTTCGAGTCATGCGAGAGGATTTTATATGCATATATATATAGAACATTATTAAAAGTTTCACGAGGATGCACGATATCATTAGGTTTAATTTTAATTCGTCGTGCATTGTATGTATATTATATTAGTTGAAATTGTGATACATATATATATTAATCGAACTCTGTATAGTATAATATTGTTAAGGCATTGAAAACAAATGAGATCTGTAGTAAAAGCTGAGTGTCCGTGGTGTATGTTTAGTCGTGGGGGTGGTCTTCAGCAGAGGGTGACGCAAGCTGCGACGCAGGCCGCTGCTAATGCCGCCGTGAACGAGCTGATGGATGCATTCAAGATCAAGTAAATAGACTCTTGTTGTCTCATAATCCTATTTTTTTTATATATATACATACATACATACATATATATATAAACACACACATATATATATATGCGAGATATTTGCCCTTTTTAACTACTGATGATAAATTATTATGGGTAATCTTGTTTAAGTTGCGCTACGTAGATTGGTAGACTGTTCAGGGTTGAGAATGAAAACTAATTCAATGTCTCACTGTTTTTTGATAGAGTGTTCCTCCGATAACAATGTTTGAGCGTTATAACCAGCTATGTTTTTTTTTTTTTTTTTTTCTTCTTCTTTTTTCCCCTCCCTTTTCTTTTTTAATCTTCTTTGCTCCCTCTCTTTCTCTCTCTCTCTTTTGCATGATCCGAGAAAAAATTGGATTAACAGCGATGATGTTGCCTTGCGAGATATAGATGATATAAATATATACGTATTAGAAAAAGAAAAGAAAAAAAAAAGGACAGAGTACGGGCGTCTATGCGAAGAAAAAAAAAATATATATATATATAAACAAGTGTGCAAGGGAAAGTGTTGTGTATATTTGTAACACGTGTAATTTGCTTCGTTATATTCCATATGTATATTATTCTTACCTCGTAAAGTAGTTTATTGTTAAAAAAAAAAAAGGAAATAAATGTGCTTTCATAAACTAGTAGAGTAACGATCTGTATAGTGTAATTCCAAAAAAAAAAAAAAAAATGAAAAAAAAAAGAAAGAAAGAAAAGAAAAGAAAAAAAACACGAAAATTGTTCGACTCGATAATATGATGAGATATGAATGAATTGAAAATTTAAGATTTGATATGAAACAATTTATTGGTGTTTCAATTTTAATGTTTAATGATATCGAATATTCGAGATACGATGATCTTCTCGCTGATAGATATTTAAAAAAAAAAAAAAAAAAGAAAAAAAGAAAAAAAAGAGAGATTATGTATTATCTTCTTTAGATTGACATATTTGTGTCTCCAGTGAATCTATATCCTGGAAAGTCTACCAGAACCCTACAAATGTGATCAAAGGTAGTTTCGATTAGGCGAAATTCTATTAAAGCAAGGCGTGAAAAAAATAGATTGAAAATTCATTTAGATTGCGTAAAAAATTCGTTTTTCATATATAATTTGCATATATAATAGAAGAATAAAAGAAGAAAATGTCATGCTGTTGGGAAAAAAAAAAAGACAAACAAACATTATCGCGAATTCATTGTTCGTTTTTCGATCGTATCTCATCGATTAATTTAGTCCAATCGGCGATATAAACTGCGTTACACCGAATATGTTTAAGCATCGTAATTATTAATTGCGCGACGCAAATAGAATTTATTATTATACGTAAAAACGAACACAGGATACACAATGTTTCTCTACCTCTTCTAAGAAATCATCGACATTTTGTTTCTTATTCCTAAAATATTATTAAAATATTAAAAATATCGTATAAAATTATACATATAAATATATATATATATACATACATTTAATAGCTAATATCCCTAATGAAATATTAATAACAGAAAAAAAAAACGTGCTCAGACATAGGATGTGATATAGCGTAGACTGCTTCGAGGATTTTGCATGAAAATCCTGAGTCGCGAAAAAACCCTCTCTCTCTCTCTGAATAGTCTTAAAAAATGAGAAAAAAAAAGACATTAATACCGCATTGGAATAATACGTATATATATATATATATATTACGTATACATATACATATATTACAATCGTGTACGTTACAATGTATAATGAATGTATATCACTGAGCGAGCGTTCAGAAAATACGTTATATATATATATATATATTTCGAGAAGATATTTGTTGTTTCCTATGCTCTTCGATCGTGGTTAGCGAATTAAATTAATTATACATGTACATAAATAAGGGGAAAGGAATATATATGATATACTTTGTAACATTCTTGTAATTAAATAGTTGCACGAGCCGCGATGTACTTTCGCGTAATAACGGTTTCTTGATGATCCACGAATATCACTATATATTCGTAATATTTATATATATATATATAAATACGTATATAATTTTAGATAAGATTATACGCGAAAGAAAACTTACGAGGAAACGAATCGTTTGATATTTATTTTTACTTAAATTTTCGCTGTTTCGTCTTCCGACCTTTATATTCTAATTTCATAACTTCGATAATTATAACAAATTATTATTAACGAAAGATGTTATATTCGATGATACATTGAACGGAATTTGTATCGTAATCGATTGATCGTCGTTGCAAAACTTCGACGCCATCTGTTGGCTATAAATCGTATTAATAATATTTATTCGATCGAGCGTAAATTTTTCGAATTTTTATCCGTTTCCACGAATATTTTTTTTTTTTTTTTTTTTCATAGATAAACATAGATATTTATGCATACAAATATATCTTTCAACGAAACATAAAAATTACGTTCACAATTACGAAAGCAGCGCCACTGCGAAAGAGCAGGTTTCGAGTCCTTGTGTACCTTCGTGACCGGTGACGCGTGGAAGATCGAGGACAATGATCGAAGTGCAATTATACGAAGAAGAGAAACGAAAGAATGAGAGGAGAAATTATTTTTCGTTACAGCGAAATGTCGATGGTCTCCCTTGAAATTAAATAACAATCGTAGTGAAGAGTCGACGACATTCTGGACTCGTATTTCTCGCGTCACTGTGTCCCTCTCTATATATGTTCTTCTAATATCATATCGCAAAGATATCGAAATTCCGATCGACGTGTAATCCACTCGAAAAGGCCTAACAAATGATACATTAATAATGTTCACTGATATCACTTCATCATACAAAGATGCATTTATTTATACCATATTTGTTATAACAACCGCCATCTTCCTTTCCAAAAACTTCATTGTAACATGTGCGCGTAACACGTGCGCATAACACGTGCGTGTAACACGATCGATTTGTTCTAAGGATGATAATTTTCCAAAAAAAAAAAAACGATTACTCAAAAAGAATATTATAATCTCGTCGAAAGCACATCGCGCTCGTGAATCGAATTTATTTATCATCATCTCTTTGTTCATCGACACTGGACACGAACACCTTTTAATTTAGATTATTCGATGGGTATTAATAAATTAAACTAATTCTATCGGATACCGTTGCTCTCGAAAAATGAGAAAGATGAACGGAATACACACATATACAATATAAAATTTTCGCGAGCAATCATAAGAGGTATTATTGTAATGTTATTGTACAGATATATATATACGTATATATATATATGTCTATTGATCACATTGATGCACCGTCGTAATCCCAGAATTAAATAGACCCGTATGTTGCGGTTATTACAGAGATGATTGTGATTATGATAATTACAATTATAATAAGTACGGTTAAATATTACGAGTCGTATTAACGACGTCATTATATATTGTATATTGTGTAAGGTAAAAGAGATATTATATTATTCTTTTCGGTAGCATGTTCATGTTTCCTTGTTCAGTAGATTGCGAAACTTTTTATTTTCGTAAAAAAAAAAAAAAATAACTACATACCATACTTTACCGTTATCACTCCCTCGAAACAGATCTTATTGTGAATATTATAAGGAGACGATAGAGATGTAAGAATAGATGTAGACATGCCTTGTACGAGGCGTAGCGTTTCAATAATATTGGGCATATCAAATAGTAGAAACGTGGAGAGAAAGATCGTTCTTCGAGTAGTCCTTTGAGATTTTTCAAAGTTCGTCGATATTTTGGAAAGAAAGGAGGGGGGAGGGGGGATTCCACTCTTCGAGATTACATTCCAATTTTTTTTTTCTTTTTTTTTTTTTCCTACATTATTTTGTACTTTTTCTTATGACAATAATTAAAAAATATTGATCAAGTAAAATATTTTTGTAATATTTTTATAATCGTTAAAATTTTCGATGATCGTTATTTTCGTTTTAAGCCTCGTAAACATTTCGTGATGTAATTTTCGATTAATCGCGTGATTTTTTTTCTTTTAATATTTTCACTTTTATGGAGGGAGGGGAGAGGAGGGAGGAAGAAAAACTTTTCGATAATTGTTAATGATAATTGTGGATCGGATGGAAACTTTATTTCAAGCGTTACAACGAAAGACGACAAGTAAGGAAATCTTATCATTCCTTGAATCGTGAAGATTTTCTTGGAGAAGCTTCACGATTTTCCGTCTGATGTTTCTTTGCTTTCGTACCGTCAATTAAACGATCGATCGATCCTTTCGTTTTTTATATCGATCCGTGATACACGTTTTACGTATCATGCTTAAAAAAAAAAAAAGAAAAAAAAAACAAGGGTCCTTGAGAACGAACTCTCAGTTTTCGTGATTCTGAAAATTCAATGAAAATTGCGATGTTTTAATCACGTCACTGTTGCACCATTGTTAGATTCAAAGAGAGAAGAAAATCGTTTGCCACATTATGTGAAGCATAGAACTGTTACAGTATTACCTAGCATTTAATAATCGTCCAATCGAGAGGCTAAATCTGAACGCGTCTACATAATAAAAATAAAATTAATCCAATACATTTCCAAGCTCGAGTTAACGATTCCACGATGATTTGTCGTGTGTTCATTAAAAAAAAAAGATTCTCTTTTAAATTTCCTTCCTTCTATGACAGTAAATGCGTTCAGATCGTCATCTACGATCCAGAGAGAGGAAGAGAAGAGAAGATTAAAAAAAAGAGAAGAGAATCGCGCAAAGGAAAAGACAGAGAGAACAGATCACAGATGTGAAACGCATCCTATTCACGCGACGAGATTATTGTTATATATATATATATATACATGCTTCCATCTAAAGCCTTAAATATTATAATAGCGAGATTCTAGTTAAAAAAAAAAAAAAAAAAGAGAGGAGAGCTTAACGTGAGATCGATAAGTAATAACCGAGCGTGATTCTGTGTATTGTACATCGCGGGTCGAGTGTAAAAAGAAAAATACAATCGCACGTGATGAAAAACGTGTGTGGAATTATTACGGTAGACGAACGATAGAGATGAATTATGTAATTAACGAGAAGTCGATGGAAACACGATTCGCGGTTCGAATTATTTTCACGTTAATATTTAGATCGGCGTTGCGTTTCGACGAATCGTAGATAATAGAGAGGACTAAGTAACTCGCGTGTCATCGATGTGAATTCACCCTTGACCAAGATAATATAATTTTCGAAAAAAAATTTTTCGTTTTTCCAAATGTTTTTTCGCGAAAACAATTTTGAAATTAGAGCTTCCTAGCTTTTCGATCCTTACCTTATTATAGCGGATTCGTAACAATTATTTTTATACCCGTTATATACCTCTAATTTTGATAGAGACAATTTTTTTCTACTGCGAGAGGAGGTAGAGTTTCGATGGTCGATGTTCATTCTCGAGCGTTTGTTGTTGAAAAAAAAAAAAAAGAAAAAAAAACATTTCATAAATGAAACAAGGGTGAGCATTGACAAGGGGTTACTTAGCGAATTATTCTATATGGATTGTGCACCTAACACGATTCACTATGTTGTAATATTGCGCGACAGGCGCGTGATATATGCATACACTGTTTTATTGCAATATAAATGTGTATATAGGATCTAACATGTTATAGATTCGAGAAATAATATATATATATATATATATCCATATAGATATACATGTATAGATATGTATATATATATACACACACACGTATATACGTAAAAGAAACGAGAATTCGGAGAGAAGCGTGTGTTGTTATCTCTTTTATTACCGGAAACGCATTTCCGCCGGGGAAATTAGTCTGTCCGATCAGATAGCGTGCGGTTTCTGCGGTTGGATAGTATTTTAATTATTGTAACACTCGTATTCCATGTGTTGATTTGTCGTTTAATATGTCGATTTGTCGACATGTAACGCAATGTTTTTTTTTTTTTTTTTCTATATATATATATATATATGTTTCACTAATATCCCTCTCTTGATTTTCGCTTGATTCCATGTATCGTCGCGTGCAAATAACAAGCATTATTTTTAATAGAGAATGTGCGAGATTATCCTGATTGTCCCCGCACGCTGGAATGCGTATTCGCGTTCTGCGTTTCTTTTTTCTTTTTTTTTTTTTTTTTTTTTCTTCTCTGTCCCTTCGATCAAACTACCAACGTCCAACGTCTGTCCCTTTAATATATTTACACCTTAAAAGCATCCAGGATTTTACCTCGTGAAGTATTACGAAGTATTATTGTTATTATTATTATTATTATTATTATTATTATTATTATTATTATTATTATTATTATTATATACATAAAAATCAATTCAATTGTATTTATCTGTATTCAAAGGACGTTTGAAAAGATTGCGATTAAATGTTAAGATCGAAGATATCGATATCGATATTTTTGATAAATTTGAAGAAAGAGATATTAGAAATTTTTACGAAATAACGTCGTAACGTCGTAGAACGAACGTCCTTTTTATACATTGTTCATTTTTGCATGCGTTTTTTTTTTTTTTTGCTACTGCTTGAGCATGTTGTGCAAATCTTGGATAATTATTTTTTTNTTTTTTTTTTTTTTTTTTTCTTTTGGCAAATCATTCCATTCCATTTGCGTTGTACTTGTGATCATACCGTTTCACTCTTTTGTTAATAATTTGTTCGTGTGTATACACAAAAAAAAATTCATTGCGCATCTTCCGTCATTATTTATATTTATCTACATCGTACAATGAAGATAACAAATGTTCGTTGCACTTTACTTCCCAACATACATTTCCAACGATCACGATCACTTCTCTTATCACTTTTATTTAGTATAGTATAGAATATATATATATATATATTTATATATGTGAATATATATATATATATAATTATATTCACATATAATATTCATTCTCATATCACAGCTTTGTAGAATCGAATATTAGCCCGATACCCGATTAAATTTATTTCCTCGAATTCTGTCCGCGTGCAAATTAAAAAAGCAAAATAAATTTAATTGGTCGCCGCGAATAGTTGCTGCGAAGCCCTTCGAATCCGAGATAAAAAAAAATGAAATTTCGAATATATAAATCGAGACGATGAAAATAAATCTCGTCTCGCGTTCGAGGGGCGGGCTTGATGTCGTTTTAACACATTATTCACGCGCTTTGATTTAATCGATTTAAAAAAAAAAAAAAAAAAAAAAATTCGAATCGTCCCTCATCGAATTATTACAATGCCTCGCATCCGAATACTTAATCACTGTCTATGTTATAGGCGTCCCGTACCCAATATTCCTCCCCGAATTCCCGACAGACCGTACTACGGCCGATTAAACTGAGCTAGTCCATGGAAAGCACACGACACCTGTGCACACCCCACGCCCGAGAGTATTCGAAGAAAGAGTTTCGTTTCCGAAACGAGCCGATGACCGGGGACACGAGCTCAGCACGAGACGAGAAAACGGTGGAAGACAATGTGATGGTTTTTACCTACCGACGCATTGACTGATTCGAAATGATGATGGGTGACGGTGAGAGAGAATCCAAGGTTTCGGGAGAGAATCTTCCGAATTCGAGAGGAGCGCAGGACGCGTCGCGTCCTATTCTTTTTTTTTCTCTCTTTCTCTCTCTCTCTCTCTCTCTCTCTCGAGATCTTCGCCCTCCTTTAATCTTGGCTATGTACAAAAAAAAAAAGAAAAGAAAAAAATAAGAAAATGTCTGATCTTCGTCGCGTTGCGCGTGTGAAGAGGAAGATTTGATTGGATGAAAAAGGAGGGAATTGATGGACGAGGAGGAGGAGGAGGAGGAGGAGGAGGAGGAAACAAGGAGGAACAAGGCTGTGCCACGAAAACAAAAGGGAAGAGAAAGAGGGACCAAGAAATGATGAACAGACAGGGGCAAGGCGAGGGAAAGCGACGTGTATATATATATATATATATATATGCATATATATATATATATATGTGTGTGTGCTGTGCCTAGTCTGTTATATCTATCGATGGTCGACAGCCGGAGATCCAATCGGTCACTTCTACTTCTTCTTTCTCTTGATATTTCGTCTTCTATGTTATTTATAAATACCGTTTAGAATTACGTGTTTTAGCTGTTAAGTATTAATAGACTCGATGCCGCTCGACGCGCGCGATTAAAGCTGGAGGATTGGTTATAAATGTTAAGAAATGGGTCTTCCGGCAAGAAGCGACGCAGTTGTTATTTTTCGAAATAACCGATTTCGTCCTTTTTTCCTTCATTAACGGTTATAATCAGTATTATAATAAGTAGGAAACGAAATTGCACGTTCTTGCGATTATAAACTCAAATTGATCAAATTTTTATAATAAAATTTTTAATCCGTTGTTCATTTTTGTTTGGAATCTTTTTTTTTTTTTTTTTTTTTTTTTTTTATATATAACTTAATATATAAATTAACGAAACCACGTATTATATCGGGCTAAAGTTTTAAGTTTCGATGATTGAAACGCTCGAACGTTAAATTCTTAGAAGATAGCTTTATTATCTATGCAAAATGAAATATTTTATTACTCAACGTATTTAAATATAGAGCGATAGGAGTCGATACGGTTCGATCGACTTAAAAGTAATTTTTAAACTAAAGCAATACTGGAGATTTTCTAGTTATAAAGTATTCATAGTTAGAGGAAAACATAATTTAATTTAGTGATTGATTGGCGCTTCTTGTCCGAGGACTCGGTAACAAGGTATTGTTCAAATGAGATTCGTGGACGACGTAACGTGCAACCCGATTACCTCGATTTTAGAAAAACTTACTAGAGCAAAAGAGTACACACGGTTCACCCTACGAATCGTTCGATCGAACGGGTGAACGAAATGCGAGACGATATTCAATCGACCACAGCATTCCAGAAACGCCTGTGTGCAAGCTTGTTTGCGAAACGTAAAAAAAAAAGAAAAGAAAAAAAAAAAAAAAGAAAAAAAGAAAAAAAAATATATATATATATTATATATTTTATATAGAAATGAGGAGAAAATTACGTGGATACCTCCTCGCCTGATGTTCATACTAAACGTAACACTTCTTTTTTTTTTGTACGATTAATTTATTGAAGTACGATCACGATGCCATTTTACAGCTCGAGTTTATAAGAAACAATTACGATAAACAACAATTTATTGAACAACGAATAATCAAAGTGTGGGAAATTTCTTATTATGTAATTTTTTTTTCAAAAGGTTTGAAAAATGTAGAAACAAAATTATATAGGTGTATGTATGTATAGAGCGCGAAATTTCTCGTCTAATAACTTTGTTCATTTTTATCTATTTTTATTGTTACATTTGCATCTTGACGCGATATATATATATATATATATATATATATATTGTTATATATTGCGTGATAGATGCTTTTTTCTCGAGAGAACGAAAAGAGCCAAGATTTATATTCATCGAAAAAAGAAAAAAGAAAAAAGAAAAAAAAAACAAACAAAAAAAATAACTATTATAATTTTAAACGGAGGCCAATGTTGTAGAAGAAGGAAACAAATTGTACATATATAAAAATCAGATACGAGTAATAGTATTACATATCGATTTATCGTGCTAGGGAAAAAGAATTTTCTTTCTTTTTCCTTTCTTTTTTTTTTTTTTTTTTCTCTCTCCCTCCCCTCTTTTTCTTTCTCTTTTTCTTTTTGTATTAAACCAAACATCACGCGTCGATAGCCAACGCGCTATGATATACGACACCGACTGACGACTAATGTACCTAGGACATATCAGGACGAATCAAATAAATGATATTTAATACAAATCGATGATATAGTTGAATGAGAATATCCTGATCAATTTTTCCAGAACATTTGAATCTTCCGATTGTCAGATCGTTCGTTCTTGTTCAGTATGTATTATGTATATATGTCAGTAAATTCTTGTTTCTTTTTTTTTTTAGGTTATATTTTATAATAACAATAACCTCGACACTATTTGACGTTTTTCGCATAAAAATGAAATGTTGAAAGTGATTCATGTCCTCGTATCCTCTTCCATTGTTGAAGATTTATTTACTTTTGCATTAAATTATATCGGTGATTTACGTGATATATAAAAAAAAAAAATATATATATATATATATATCACGTAACTATATATATACATATATATAGTTAAAAAATATACTAGAATACGTGGTGTCTCTTAGAAATTGATTTTGCTGAAATCAATATGTCGTTACAAATGTGTCGTGATCAACGAAAGTTGGGACAAATGGTCGATCAAATGAAAATACTTGCCAATAATTTGGACGAGTTACGAGCCGAAATTTCTGCATTGAAGGCGAGCTATTTAACGAAGAAAGACGATCCTTTGCGTAATAATGATTTGAAACAAAATTTAAACAAAAGTAGTAAGACTAATGTTTTAAGTAAATTAAAAAAATATATGAAGAAAGTAAAGAGTATGTATTCATTGAGAAAGGAGCAGAAACGAAGAAATCAAGAGGTATATCGAAATATTTTGATTTTGATTTAATTAATTTACGCTACTCAAAGTAATTAGGAAATCGCATCGAAATTTGTTTTTTTTTTTTTTTTTTTTTTCTATTATCTTGTGAATCTAACGTTTTAATTAAAAAAACAAAGAAAAATCAATTTTTAAAATGAATACGTATTTGTACGTATTTCACTATTCTTTTATATCCTTTTATATTGGCAATATTTCTCAAATTAAACTCAAATTCTCCCCCTTACCTTCAAATTCTCCAAATTCTTCAATCATGTTCTGTATTCGGCAAACAAATTATTCATTAGAGGATAAGTTTCCAATTATTTTGAGCAGTTTCATTGTCGTTTCTTTATTTACAGCTAACAACAAAATTTTATCAAATGCGATTCTTTCCCTTAGCCTTTTTATCCTTGCTCGAATATCGATCCTCCGTTGTCCTCGTTTTTAAATTATATTTTCCCTAACCAAAGAAAAGATATATGGAAACTGCCGCCACGAATCAAATACTTGAAAAGCCGAGGTAATCAAACAAACGACAAGCAAGAAATGCAGTGCACTACGAAATCTCCGTCAACACCATTGAACATGGACCATAAATCGGAGGATAAAAATTATCACGAATTTTGCTCGTCCCCAAAGCGAACCGAAACTGACCAAGATGATAAAGTAGTATCTCCAAGCAACGATGCAACTCTTGTTCCACATTGTTCCGAGATAAGCTGCGAATTAGACGTAAAGGTGGAAAATTCGGTATGCTCCTCTCCTAGCTCGAACGTGAACATTTATTCGGACTCGTACACGTTCGCCGCCGCGTGTACCGCGAATGTGCCGCGAAATGGCGACTCCCCCCCCCAAGTGTCTTCGTCGGAAGGTGTGGACGACGAACCGGTCGGTAAGCAATCCGCAACGAAATCTACGCAAACGAAAATAAGCAATATGAGGCGAAACTCGAACGACTCTTATCTCAAACAGTCGAATCTTTGCTTCTCTAAAATAAAGAATGCCGTGATCACGAAAAAAATTATAAAAAATTCCAACGAGAGCACGTTCACGATATGCGGGGAGGTGAGCGATATGAAGCATTATCCATGCCCGAAGAAAAATTGTAATAAATATTCGTTCAAGAAAAAACAGAATAGCTTTACCCAATGGAACGATCAAAAAACGAGCGAACAAGATATTCCTCCGGTCAAAACTCAACTTAAAGAGATGAAGGATAGTTTGTCCAGTACGAACAACAAGACTATGTATTCATGCCAGAATATTTTGCCCATAAAAGATTCAGATTCGTCGCCTTCTTTGGTTTCATTGGATTTGGAAGTGAATATTTCGAACATTTCCACCAACATCGAAGATTGTTCGGAACGTCGGAAACCGAGGACCTATGTAATACGCCAAATAAGTCAAAAAAGTAACGAAAGTAATTGGCTTAATGATTTGGAAAGGATTACTTATGCGGGGCCATCTTCCGATTTGAGCCTTTCTTGCTGTAGTTTCTCGAATCACAATGTTCATTTTGATTAAAAAGGATATCTAATCACACGCTTTTTATATTCATTTCTATCTATACAGGGAAATTTAATAATTTCTTCTAATTTTATCATATCATATATATATATATATATATATTATTTTAATTTATTCGATAATGATACGAATGATAAAGTTCGATCGATTTTAATCCCAAGTAAAAAAGATCACATTTATTATTAAAAAAATGCAATAGAAAGAATGTGCAATACTGTTACAATTCTTTATACTTACAAATCATTACAATAATATTAAAACTTTTTTTTTTTTTTTTTTTTTTTCATTATTGCACATTGAATGAAAACGATCGTCATTACACGTATCAATGTATCAAAGATGAAATCGGATCACATATACTGTTCCCTCTCTTTTACATAATTTGAGAATTGTTTTTGGCAACAGCAGGTCATTGAATTCGCGGCGGGGTACAGTCGTGAAAAATAATTTTCCAAGCCGCCACGAACGTCTTAAATACCCCTTCGTTAGAATTGTTCTTCTTGAAATTGTGCACCGAATAACGATTATAAAGTCCCCAGATGCTGTTCATTAATTTACTGTTATATTTCAACGGCGTAAGTTCCCAACCTGTGAAAAAAAAAATGAATTATTTACGTATCCAAAATTCATAAAATTTTTACTTGTTAAATTCATAGTTTTATACATTAACTTATATTATTTCCAATTTTGAATTTGTCATCGAGTTTGTTGAACGAAGTCATATTTTATATTCGTTTTAAATTATTTTTTTTTTCTACGAGGCAAACAAAGTTAAACTTATCGAATATTTTATATTATAGATATTAAATAAGCGGTAAAAATAACTGCTTTTTTTTTTCATAATTCAAAAATTTATTTAAATAATCTCTTGGAAAAATAAACAAACAAAGCAAAAATATTTAACTGGAATGGATACTAGAAATACACGATATTTCTTATATATATATATTATTATTTATTTTAATGCCAATATATGATATGATCTAAAAATATTCGCGAAGCGACATTCCAGTATATTCTAAAAACAGGATACGTCATCGATAAGTCTGATAAGTACCTTCCAATGGGGGTCTCATGTTGAACGTATTTTCTTTACACGATTTTTCTTTCTTCTCCATCCGTGATATCATAGCATTGCGTTCTCGATTGCAACGGACTTTGCACGCCGCAAACGCGCCTTGAGGAATAGATGCCATTCTCTTACAATCTGCAATAAAAAACGAAAAGGCAATATTTCAAGTTTAAATCGATTTCTGGAATAAAAAAAAATAATAAAATGTTATGATCGGTTCTGGAAATAATTTACATATATATATATATATATATATATATAACATTTAAAAGATTTAATATTAAAAACAAACCTTCGCAAGTTTCAAAGAGCAGTTTTGCCAATTTTCTTTTAACGTTTATCACCGTTGCTCTTTCCTCGCAAATCCTAATTTTGGGATTATGCTGATTTTTCCACCACGATTTTCGATTTTGTTTTAATATTACAAACTTCATACAGCCGCGACGAACACTCTTCAAATCAGTCATCGACCGATCGATAAAAATGAAAAAAAGATATTTTAAAAAATAAAAAACTAAAGTGCTTTCCTTTTTTTTTTTTTTTTTTTTTCTTACAGATTCTTATCGTCACGGACGAGCCAAAAAATTTATATAAAATTTATATAAAAAAAAAAAAATTAATAATAAAAGTAGCGAAAGGAAGAAAGCAGCTCGACTCTGTCACTTCGTTAGGAATCAACGTCGTAATAACATGGGAGTAATAATTTCGTTTCGATTTATGAACTTGTTTTGCAAACAAGTGGGGAGAGATAGATTGGACGAGAAACAAAATAGGAAAAGAAAATTTACGTCTTTGTAATGAGATATCGGCTGCCTTTCGAGATTTTTAATGATCTCGACCACCACGATTCTTTTATCTCTGAAGACCTCTCGGATTTAAAATGCGTAAGTACTCCAATCGCGCGATACGTGACCTATATATATATATATATGTATCATATATATGTGTATGAAATGAAGCAATAATTCTTGTACAATCTTGAATTTTATTATAATTTTGAATTTATTTTCATTTTATTTTTCGAACAATGCAAAGAAAAATATTACTTTCATCTAAAATAAGATGATGGATATTTTTATTTAATAAAAAGAAAAAAAAATTGTATAAAAATAGCATCATATTAGACATAATAAACATTTTATTCGATATAAATGGAAAATTATGAAACAATTTTCTATATTTAAGTAAAATTATTATGATAATTTAATATAAAAGTATAATAAAGATCGTCATTTATAGCACTTCGATAATATATATATATATTTTTTTTTTTGAAAATTTATATTACTTATTCCATACCGATACGTATATTAATATTTCTCATAATCATGCCTCCAAACAGGTTTTCTTTTTTCAATAAAACTTTTGATTCCCTCTTGAGCATCTTTCATTTTTAAATTATTAATCATTTTTTTGGTTCCTAAAAAATATGCAGTCGATATATCAAGTTCCAATTGTTCGTACAAAAACGTTTTTCCACCATGTATAATCGATCGACTCTTCATATTTATAGCTGTAGTAATTTTTTCAATTTCTTCTTCTAAAAAATGAAATAAAATAAAATTTTATATGTGTCTGTAATATTATCTTATTTAATTATTCAAATGAATTTACCAATTTTATCATGAGGCACAACTTTGCTTACAAGACCTGTTTCATACGCTTCTTTACCATTAATGCTGAAACCTGTGATGAGCATGTACGTTGCTACTTTTTTGGACACGTTCCGAATCAAGGGAATACCTGGTGTAGAACAAAATATTCCAAAATTGGCTCTAAAAATTAATAATAAATAAATATTATTTAAATTATATTAAATGAATCAATGGTATATTGTAATGTAATTATTGTAATTATTGTAATGTAATTATATATTTATATTAAAGAAAAAAAGATAAATATACCCTGGTGTAGAAAATGAACTTCTTTCGGTACAAATAGCAATGTCACATGACGTAACTAATTGACAACCAGCTGCAGTTGCTACACCATCTACAGCAGCAATTATTGGAACAGGACTTTTAGTAATTGCTTGCATCAATTGTGAGCACGTTTCAAAGATTTCCTTGTGAAGCTTCCCATTGTTATTAGTCTAAACGACGCAAGGTAATCATTTATCTGTGTGACGAACGTAAATTTTTATATTAAAAGACCCGCATTACTTTTATTTTTTAGTCCATCTACAAACCAGTTCTTTTATATTATGTCCAGCAGAAAATATTTTTTCCAATCCAGATTTAATAACTATCGTCCGAAGATTATTATTATTTTCGTCGTGTATGATGTTCTTCCATAAAGATTTTAACATTTTTAAAGATAAAGAATTACGAGAAGGAAGATGATTCAATATTAATGTCCGCACCTAATTATAGAAATGATTTAGTAGTGTATATATATATATATATATATAATTTTGTAAAAAAAATATTTTATTATTACTCTCCTAATTGTAAATTTAATAGTGAATAAGAAATAGGAAATTTATTGGTACTAGCTTTGTATATGTAATATATCTTCTTACTCCATTTTCTTCTTTGACATCTAGATATTTTTCTTCTGACAATGACATTCTACTTGTAGAAAATGTTCTTGGAACATATCTTCCCACCTAAAAATATCGATATATCATTCACATAGAATTGAGGAAATTATTAATTTGAAATTATTATTTCGTATTTCCCGCCATGCCATTTGTGAACTTTGTGGATCTTGATATCAATATTACTTATATTATTATTTATATATATTTATATATTTTTGTATATGCATATGTGTAAATCGAAATATAGAATTTATTAAATTAAATTTTTTATTAATAAAATAATATATTTAAAAATATTATTTATTATAATAACAAATTATATAACCTCCATTTATACATACGTATAATTTAGTATAAAAATTTACCTGAGAATAAATAAAAATATTTCTCTCCATTAATCGTAACATTTTATAATAATTTTTTTATATTAATTTTTTTAAAGTAATAATATTAATTTTTCGTTACTTTTAAATCTTTCACAGCACAATTAATATCAATGATTGATATCAGTAATAGTAAAATACAGACACTTATGTATCAGATTGCCATAAATAAACGAATATAGATAATGAGAAAAAATAATAGGAGAAGGATAAAGATAGAATAAAAATCCAGGAATTAACGCCATCTTCAGAATACCACAAATAAAACACATATAACACAGAAAATAATAGAAGAAAGATAGAAATAAGATAAGAATTGACCATTATCGCCATCTTTTTAATATTAAAAAAATCTTATTAATTATCTTTTCAAAAATATTTAAGAGATGGCACTGATCTTTAATTCTTATTCTATTTTAATCTATTTCTGAAAAAGTATCTTTGACATTCAAGAGATGGCAGTAAGAGTTAATTATTATATTATCTTTCTCTTTGTTCTATTATTCGCTTTCCTTATTTATATTTGTATTTCATTATTTATATTTACTCAAGAGATGGCGTAGATTTCATAATTTTTAGTTTATTATCATCTTTTTTCCACTATTTATTTTCATTATACAAATTCATATGCTCTGAAGATAGTGCCGATTTCTGACTTAACTTTATAATATCGTTGTCCAACTTACTCATTATAAATCTTAACAGAATCTATATATATAAATTTTTGTATTTCTATTTTTTTTTTCTAATTTTTATATTAAATTTTATTTTAATGAAAAAATCTGAATTTTAAATTTTAGTTTTTTAATTATTTCAAATTAAAATTTAGATTTAAAAAAAAAAGTTTTAAATATTTAAATTATTTTTATCTAAATATTTTCTATTTCGTTTTTTCAAATCATTATCTCAGAAAAATTATCTTCAATGTCTCTACTATGCATATAATCAGAATTAAAATTATAAAAATTCCAAAAGTAGAATACAATATTTGAATTCTATCAATATTAAATATTGCCGTAAATAACATATATATAAATTCAACATTTGAATAATTATTTGAAAATTAATTCAATGAAATAATAAATAACATATGAAAAAGTTTTAAAAAATAAATTAAAAGAATTTTATTTTAATTATTTTACAAATTCTATAATAAGTAAATTTATATAATAAAAAATTTATATAATAAATAGATCGATAATCATATGAAGCAGGGGGCAATGTCACATAATTTGATCAAACCTCCGAACTCTCCAACAGTAGGATAACCTGTCATCGGTTACCATAGTGATCATTGTTTCCCCTAACAACTAACATGGCGGAGGTTGAGGGTAAGTTTGCATATGTCAAACAGTCTTTGTTAGTATTTATAAAACTACGGTAGTTCGTCTAACACAAATAACGCGTCGAGAGATCCTAGTGATTACCGCGTGAATTTTTCTCGTGCTATACTTCCGTCCAGTTCCAGTTTCACGGCCGGGACCGTTTTCTAATAATATATACGAGAACCACGCGGACGTGAAGGTGTTCAGACACATAAACGGAAAAGAGAAGAACTAGCGATGGATCCGAATTAATATTTCTGATCTCCGATCGCATAGATCGGTTTTTTCACATGAAAAATTAAATAAGTGACAAGAGGTAAGATGATATTTTTAATTGTGCGCAAACTCGAATCGATATCTGGTGAATCGATAATCGATATGTGGTCTCGCTACAAGTACGATCGAACGTAATATATAATGGAGTATTTATGAGATGAAAAATAAATATAAAATATTTTATTTACCCATACATTTTTCGATTTATTTTGTTCAAATTGTATAAAATTGTTTAATGGATTGAATTTTATTTGATGATTTATTTATTTATTTATTTAAACTTCAAAATAATTTTATTGACTGTTCCGTTGAAAATTAATTTTACCGCTTTTATGTACTGAGTATACTCGGTTGATAATGTAAAATACTTTACGATCATATTTATTATTATGAAAGTAATTTTTGTTTGTTATATAACTACTAATATAGCTAATAATTATAATCGTTTTTATTTACAATCAGATATAAAATTACTGATGATTTATATGATATATTATTATTTAATTATTATTACATTGAATTTAACGTATTCTTTACAGTATTGATCAAATATCTGTGACGAAACGCACACACAACATCGACACATTAAATCATTATGCTTATTCATGATCTACATCGTGGTTTATCGGTAATTATAATCTTTATCGGAAACAGAACTCGTAAAATAATATTAAAAACACGAGGTTGAATCGCTTGTCGATATTTTTTTACCTTCTACTAGGTAACAATTTTTCTTCTCGTTTAAAGACTATCGAACTATCTTTATTAACTATATATTGAATAGTATATTACTATTCAATTGATTCAAAATCTTTCAAATCACAGAAAATTTTTTTTTTTTAATAAAATTTAAACATCTCTATAGTCAATTCTTATTTAGATTTTTTATTATTTTTATTTCTCTTACTAAACAAATCTTAAACAAAGATAAAATATATTTGCTTTACTTATTGTAACCTTCTTACGTAACTATGAAGAGAGAAAAGAATCGCAAAATATTCGAGTGTCATATAAAGTGTTGGGAAAAGGTTGGGAAACACTGGTCAAGAAATTAGATTCAAGTACTTAGTTCCCTTCATCGCGCGAGAGTTTCAATCCCATCGCTATTAAAAGGAAGAAGCGAGCGCTCCTGATGCTCTCGTAGTGACACCTAAAATAAACCTCATTTAACAAGAGAAGAAAACGAGATCGTGCGTAGACGTTGCGTACAAGAACAGCCTCGTGGCGATGGAGAGGCTCAGTCGATGTGTCTCCATGCTCTTCGATGTTGTGCTGCGTTTCGAGAAGAGGTATCGCAGGGGCGGATCTAGGATCCCCCTACGATCACTGCTCATCAAAAGAGCGACCTGTCGGCTTGGAAAAAGTAGTAGAATCCGGACAATTTCGTGAACCAGGTGAGATTCGTGCGTGGAAAACTGGAAAAATATATACTTTCCGCTTTCTTGCGATCATTTTTTTCGTCTCGCTCATTTCTGATCCGTTTCTTCTCCTGGTTAACAATTAAATTATATTTAATTCTTTCACGTTTACTTAATATTTCCTTTCTTGTAGAGAAAGTTAGATATTTCTACCAACAAGATTTTTAAGAGCGTCTTTTAAGAGCATCTTGATAATTTGATACTATAAAAATTCCAATACTGATAATATCGTGAAAAATAATAGACGAATCGAATTCTGAAATTATTGTAGTATTTGCAATTTTTAAAGTTTGGTCAAATACAAGAAAGGTATTAATCGGAACGCTTTAATTAATATTTTTTTCACGCTCGATCGATTTCTTCATAACGTACACTTCTCCTTGACTCGTGTTTACGTACCAGAAAAATAATCCACTCCTGGAAATTATGCACTCTTATAAATAATGCAGAATTCATTAGAGATTCTCAAGAAATTATCATTATTTTCTTTGCTTTATTGTAACACATTTTCTCGAAGAATATTCCGTACGATAAATGTTCGAATAATGTTATCGTATTTCGTATCATAATTCTTGCGGAAATATTAAATCCAAAACCTCGCTCTTTTTTCTTCGATCTTTCGAATTCTTTCGATCGAATTCGTCCCTGAATGAAATTGTCCTTCGAAATCTTTCAAACGGCGAATTATTCAAACTTTTCCTCGAGTCGAGAAAACTAAAAGCCTTATAAATTCACAGTTACGTTACACCCCCTCAAACTCACCTTGGAAATTCGCACTATCGCGAGGCGAGGTATATATAAGAAAAAAGCGCGTTGGACGCCGCATAAGGAGTGCAAAAGGCATCCGTCGTTGGCGATAAATAACGGCGGCATCGGCATACGACGGATTACGAATCCGGGCGTGAAGGTGACATTTCGAGAAAAAAGAAGGCAAGAGTGTAACGCGTGAGCAACGTTCAGTGGTCGTGGTGGCAAGTGGTCGGGAAAGCGAGGACGGAAGGGAACGGTCGTGAGAGTAGGAACAACAATATCGGGCGCACGATGTTCAAAACACGAGCGTGTATAGCTCGCTGTTAATGTGTACACTCGTTGCGCCAAAGAAGGAAGCTTGCTCGGGCCGTGGGCGGGCAATTCTCGCGGGGGCGACACCTCGTCCTCATCCACCACCTCCTCCTCCTCATCTTCATCGCGGTGGACGCGTCGCCGTGTTAAGTGGAATTGTGCAGGTGGCCGCAAAACAAACCGATCGATCGCTTATCGATTACGAAAATATATTCACTCGCGCTCGATCCCGATCTCCATGCGCCTTCATTCCTTATCCCGCGTGACACGGCGATAGGCACGAGAGAAATTAGCTACCGTTGGCGCGATAAGAGGTTCTCGGTTTAAAATCAAAATAACGACGCGTTGTCGGTTGCGTCTCGTTGCTCGAGAGAAGAATAAAAATATATATTTCGAAGAGTTTGGTGAATCGATTTTTGATTTTTCTCGCGATATCAGCGATCGGAAAGTTAATAATCGTGTATAAAGGATAATCTCTCGACGCGTTGAAACGCGCTTGATCGAATTTTCTCTTCGTTCCCCGCAGTCTGAGTCAGAAATATTATGGATGGAAGGAGGGATTGTTCTCTCGCCACGCAACGGAATACGCATCGATGATATCGGTTCACCGATGTCGAGTGCCGCGTTTCGTTCGTTCTGACTCACTCTGCTCCGTATACGGGCGCATTTCGTGTGGATGTCGAACAGGGGGATCGCAGCAGCCGACTAATTCTTGGTAAATGGACACAGATGTGCCGCCCATCCTTCTCCCGTGCGCGATATGCGCACGGACATTTATGCCTCAGTCGTTGGAGAAGCACGCGAGGATCTGCGAGCGGTCGGCGAACAAGAAGAGGAAACCATTCGACTCGGCCAAACAGAGGATCCAGGGCACCGAGCTGGCCGAATTCTTGCCCAGGCAAGAGAAGAAGCGACGATCGCCGGAAGAGAGATCCTCCAAGTCTTGGAAGCAGACGCACGATGATTTTCTACGGGCCATCCGCGCGGCTCGCAACGAAATCGTAAGTGTTTTTAAATTAATCCCTGAACGAGTTCGCTTGTTAGAACAAATTCTCTGTGAAAAAATTTATTATCGAAGAACGGTAAGAAACGGTAGATCATAACTAATAATCGTGGATGGAATATGTAAATTGGGGATGTAAATTGGGAAACGAGAGATTGCGCGATATTGGATCGAAATGAAAGAAGGTGAATAGAGAGGCAGCACGAGGTGAGAATTACAGGCAGAGCGCAGTTTAACCCAGATGCATCGCGAATGATGCAAGTGCATTCGTGCGTGCGATGACTTCTCTTTGCAACACCATTTTCTTAACAACTTGCTTCTTTCACTCGTTCAAACTCTCTTTATTATATTATACGTATCATACATCATCATTTAATGTATTTGATAAAATCTCTCTCTCTCTCTCTGAGATAAGAACTTATATATAAACAACTCTCGACCGATTTCAATTTCTTCAACATCAAGTTTTTAATTTTTTTTTCTCTTGTATCTTTTAGGTGGACTTATATGAACTTTGATCGATTCATAATTTTAATTTCTTCAATATCTCGTTCTTTTAATTTTTTTCCTTTTGTAGGTGGACTTATATGAATAACTTCGACCGATTCACGATTTCAGTTCCTTTAATATCCTGTTTTTTAATTTTTTTCCTTTTGTATCTTTCAGGTGAACTTATATGAACTTTGACAGATTTATAATTTTAATTTCTTTAACATCAACGTTTTTTAATTTTTTCCTCTTGTATCTTTAGAGAGACTTACATGAACTTCCACCGATTCACGATTTGAATATCTTCAACATTTTTTAATTTTTTTTCTCTTGTAAGTGGACTCGATCATGCAGAAGCAAGTGCGTGCAATGCAACACTTTGCTTGTACTATTCTTTCTCTATTATTTTTTTACTACAACTTTCTTCTATCATTCGTTCGAATTCTCCTCTCATTTATCCGATATAATATATAAAACATATTACAGTATCATCTACTGTATCTGATAAAATCTTTTTATCCCTCTTTCTCTCTTTTTCTCTCTGATAACTTATAATATATAAACAACTCTTGACCGATTTCAATTTCTTCAACATAAAATTTTTAATTTTTTTTTTCTCTTGTATCTTTTAGAACTTATATGAACAACTTTAACTAATTCACAATTTTAATTCTTTCAACATCAATATTTTCTTTTCCTTTTGTATCTTTTAAGTGAACTTATATGAACTTTGACAGATTTATAATTTTAATTTCTTTAACATCAACGTTTTTTAATTTTTTCCTCTTGTATTTTTAGATAGACTTACATGAACTTCCACCGATTCACGATTTGAATTTCTTCAACATCAACATTTTTTTAATTTTTTTCCCTCTTGCACGTTTCAGGTGGACTCGACCATGCAAAAGCAATGCAGCACAACGATCACATCGAGCGCGCCAACGCGGGCCAACGAGCAGGGTATGTGTCCCACGTGCAATCGTCACTTCGGCGTCAAGGCGTACGACAGGCACGTGGCTTGGTGCAAGGAGAGGATCGCCCGGGTGCCGGTCAGCCCAGCGACGAACATCGCCAAGGAACGGCTCGAAGCGCGGATGAAGTATCGGGCCCCGGCCGTGAAGAGTCGTCGGCAAGCGACCCGCGAGAAATATTCGCCGGGCTCGGCGATCACTCTCAGCGCTGGGAACAAGATGTCCCCGGGCTTGGTCCCGAACAAAGCCAAGGAGAGCGCCTCTGCACCCTCATGCAACAACAAGAGCAACGACAGCCCCGTTAAACAGAAAACCACTCTCGTGTAAGTTGCGTGCAACAGAATAGGGGAAAAAACCAAAATAACCAAAAAATAATAACAACGGAGGACGCACCGTAATTTCTAGAAGAAATTATTACTCGTCTCGAGACACCGAAATTTAGAATTAATGAATTAAAAAGAAAAATCGAAACCTTTTTTCATTCTGTAACACTCGTATTCCAATTTTTCTTTCTTTCTCCTTTCACAGTAGACGTTCCAATCCGATGAAGGAGTCCACCTCGACAATCCCCCCGATGAAGTCTCGATTGCCGGATCGTACGAATAGGTAAGCCGATCATCGACCGCCTTACCCATCCTACAACCGATACCGATACAAAGGAAAATAGTAATAGCTTAGCGGCGGTTAGTTTGAAACGCGTTTAGTAGCGTGCATGAGGAGAAGGAACAGGGACAAGGTTGTTTTTTTCGTTTATAGAGAGAGATATTTACGCCTAAAAAAAAAAAAAAAAAATAGAAAGAAATGCCTGATGACCTTCTCCTGATGTCAAGGCGCACATCCTTGATCCCGTTTCCTGATCCTCAGGCAACTCGAAGACGATGCCGGACCGTCCACTTTTCGTCCTGCTCCCTCCGTTAAAAGAATCTCCCACCTCCCAGTCCCACCTTTAAAAGCACATAAGAGAGAAAGTTTCGACGAGTGGAATAGCAACAATAACAATAACACCACCACCGTCCCCCTCCAATCGCCAAGATCGTGTAACAAGAGACGAGAAGTAACAAAAAAGTCGCACGTTAAAGCGAGGCAGGACGGTGAGCAGATGACGACCAGCGGTCAAAAAACAATGAAGCAGGAGGAGAGGCATCAACAACAAGCGTTACACTCGGCGAGGTCGTTGAAAATGAACATCGTCTCGGCGAGAAGTCAAGGAAATCCCAAAGTGAACGATGTCTCGATCAACGACGACATCGTGGGCATCACTGTGAAACCTTGCAACATATACGGGAACAATAATCAATTGACCACTTGGAAACAGATCGCTGAAACGGATCAGACCAAGATTCTGATGAGCAGGCGGTGCGCCGAGGATCTTCTCCTCCCCCCCACGGGAGACGAGAAACGAGCGACGAGAGCGGAGAACGTTGGAGAATTCTCGTTGAACAACGGCGAGGACGAGGACGCGTCGAAGGAGAGGGAGGACGGGGCGAGGAAATTGAGCTCGAGAAGCGAGAGCATGAATTGGTCGTCGACCACGACAACGTTGAATCAAACATACTCGTTCAGGGAGACAGGGTCCAGGGTATGCGACGAGCGGCCGACGGCGAGAAGCAGAAGGTGGAGGCCGGTCAGGCACAGCCCCCGCGTTGAATTCTGCTTGAAAGAGCCGGTCAAAGTGAATCAGATCTACGTCTCCTCCCTGTTCTCGGGAGAAACGGGGAATAAGTGTTACGGGGACCCGTGCGGAAATTCTTCGACCGAGGAAAGAAGGGGAGGAGAGGAGCGACTCGGTGCGTCGAAACAGGAGAGCAATCGTTACTTCGAAAAATCCTCGAATTTCAACTCCTCGGCGAGGAGTAATAATAAAATATTCGCGAAGAAAGGATCGAGATCGACCGGTGGTTACACGGACGTGGACAACGAGGAGGAGGAAGAGGAGGACGAGGAGGAGGAGGAGGAGTATTCGGGCAACGACAATTTCGATATTTTAAACTCGCCATCGAGAAGTTTGCGGGGAAAGAAGGTGGATATGGACGGATCGAGCGCAGGCGCGGCGGCGAAAAGAAGGGGGAATCCGTTGGACTACGAAGTGGGCGGGGCGATCGAGACGAACAACGAGGCGAAGGAAAATTCTTCCCTGTTCGAAGAAAATTTGATCGCCTCTATCTCGTACGAATTCACCGATCTGAACGAGTACGATGATTTCACTGAAAAGGAACGGGATAAGAATCGTACGGAGGAAGGGAACGAGGAGGAGGAGGAGGAGGAGGACGCGAGTCGATTGTACGACGACGATCGAACGTCGTACGAGGATCGATCGTGCAAGGAGATGGATAACTCCTTGATGGAGGGAATCGGGAGGAGAAAGAATTCCGTGGAGAGCGAGAAAACGAACGAGGGATTGTTCAAGAGCGAGACGAATTGGATCGAGATGGAAACCGAGCCCTCCTTCCTCACCGAGATCATACTTCAACCGTCCAGGTCCAGCACCCCGTTCGTAAGTTTCGAGGCTCGTTCCTCGAAGGAGAGATACGACGAAGGAGAGTACGAAGAGAATACGAAGGAAAACTCGATGGAGTGGAAGGTGGAGATAGACACGGAGACAGGTTCGGAGGTGTTGTACCGCGTGGAGAACAGCGGGGATTCGAACCGTTCGAGCTCGAGGGATTCGAGGAGGGACGAGTTGAGGGGGAAAGGCTCGAGGGAGGGGGGCTCGTCCCGCGGTGGAGTGGAAAGAGATTTCGCGAGATTCCCCCCGGTGCGGCAAAAGGAGAGGAAGACACCTTTCTCGGGGGGCGTCAAGTCCCCCTCGTTAAGAAGGAAGGAGGAGAAAACCGTTCGATCACCGATCGCGTATCCGCCCGAAAAGGACGAGCGAGTAATATTCCCGAAGGTACAGAGAAAGGAGATCGGGAATCAGATAAACATTTGCGATTGCTCGAAGGAAATATCCCCGAATAATTGGTCCAAATGCGAGAAAAGTGTGGGCGAGTGTTCGATCGCCGAGAACGGAGAATTAGGACAAGATGCGATATTGGAGAATTCCGAGGCGCGAGATCGAAGAACGAACTTGGAAAACTCGGAGAATAATTTTAATTCGGACGTGATCGAGTCGTCGACGAGTCAATTGAACACGAATCTGGAAACGGACGATACCGCGATGAAAGACGTGGACAGTTTGAGGAATAACGGGGAGGAGGAGGAAGAGGAGAACGAGAACGAGGAGGTTCAAGAAATCTATTCGGCCAAGGATTTCGATTGCGACAGCGATAACAGCGTGGAGAATCGGGTGCAGGAGACGATGAACGAGGCGAAATGTTCGAAGAAGAAAACGGAAGAGAAAACGGCGACGAGGCAAACGCTTCCGAGTTTGCGATCGATCATTTTGTCCGAGTCGTGCGTGAAACTGAGCCAACGCGTTCAAATGGAGGATTCGTCGGTGTCGAATCGATCGACAGCCCTGAAATCCCGCCGGTCGAAAAGGGTAGAGATAGAGAATAGAATTCGGGAGAACGTGAGTATCTTGAATGAGAGCAGCGACAGTTTAGCGTCGGGTGGAACGGCATGGATAGACATCACGGATGTGAAGCAGGTCGAGACCGTGGAAGTGGAGACCATCGAGGAGATAGGAACGAGGAATAGAAGTATCAAATTTCGAATATTGCCGGAGATAAAGGGGACAGGTGTGCTCGCGAAGAGGAGCTACGACGATAAAGAGAGAAGCGATCCTCAAACGTATTGGGAGAAAGCGTCGAAAGCAACGAGGAATCGTTTGATCAATCTCGATCCGCCGTATCAGGGGGCGAGCAGGTTTCTTAAGAGAAATCCAAAAGTTCATATCCTTCCCCCCGTTCCAAGTAGCTCTTCCTTGGTTAATCGCAGGTAGGAATAGGAATACGTTTATTTACGTAGGAACGATCGTTATTAATTTTTACGACGCCTTTTTATTATCCATTATTCTCTTATTATTTGACTTAACGGGCAACCGTTCGATCGCCCGACCGACCGTTTCCTTTTATTCCTTTCGTTTGTTAATTCGAGTTTTTAAGAGGAGAAGAGACAGAAACGATGAATTGAAAATCGTTATTGCAATTTTCGAAAGTTAGTAAAAATTTTTTTACTATCCCTTTCCTTTTCACATTGTACACACAATACGTATACGTATATTTAATGCGAAATGAAAATATTAATTTTCGCAATAACGGACAAGTTATTACTTCTAACGATAGCTAACGATATTGTAGGAATATAAAACTGCCATTACATCCCGTATGGAGCAATTATGTGCGCAGAAGACCGGATTTTAATCTCTTACTTAGCAGTAGAACGTAAGTCCCAATCGTGGATGAACGAATCATATTTCCAACACGGATTTTTCGTTTCTTGAAATTATTATCCAAAAAAAAAAAAAATTGAGAAAAATTCTTCCGCTATTCTAATAAAAATTGAATTCGTTTCGATATTTTGGAAAATTCATTTAGTTCTTTTTTTTGTTTTTTCTCTTTTTCTTGAAACGAAAGTTTCAAGCCCTTTGAATTAAAACATCACGAGGCATGAATCGCAGCCGCAAATCTTAATCTTGGCACGTTCTTTGATGTATCGCATGTACAACGCCACACGAGTTTACCCGTCACAATCGTACAAATATTTGCTGCGAAAACCGGGTAAAGAACATGCTTTGCATGTTTGGCCTGGGCTGAAAGGCTTGTCCTCCTCCCTGTTTTACCTTACATATCATTGTCTTTTCACAATATCGCATTATCGATCTTCTTGTTCATCGAATGCTTCTTAGGAATAGGAAATCAGAAGAATCGAACGATATAATGTAAGCATGAAGCGAGAAAGAGAGAGAGAGAGATAGCAAATTTCTTCGACGAATTTTCGTTTTATCGTCTTCCGTTTCCTCTTCCACGCGATCATTTTTACCACGTTCTTTATTTCGAGCATATTCTCAAATATGTTTTTTAATGTATTCTTTGTTGTTTTTTCTTTTTTTGAAACGAGACTTTTACATCACACACACATATATATATATACACACACACATACAATGCACCGATATTCGAGCAAAAAAAAAGAAAAGACGTTTTTTTTCGAAATCTTTCGTATTTGGAATTATTAAAAGAAAAATTATTATAATTATTATAAAAAGAATTATTATAAAAAGAAAAAAATATCGATCCATCTATAATCAGCCGTGGAAAAGAGACAAAACATTTTCTGAAAAGAAACGTCTCGTTGAATAGAAGGAAGGATGAAATTTTGAATCTTTTAATCGTGATTTTCAGCGGAAAGGATTACGATCCTTTCCTATTGGCGGAGCAACAGATGAACGATCTGCTCTCAGACACCAGCGAGCAATCCGTGGCGGATAGCTGTCCATCGATCGAGCAAAATTCCCGCCAAAAATCATTCCCTCTCTCTCATTCCTCGGCATTCATCAAATATCCTTGCCAATCCTCGCCCAATCCTTCGAGAAACGTCGGCCTCGAGAAACGTTCCTCCTCGATGCTTCCCCCAACCGAACTCGATGACATCACCTCGGACTTCTCGAGCGATTCCACCGAGACGAATTCGTTGTCCCGGGAGCTTCTTTTCTCTCTCAAGGATGAGAAAGAACGGACGAAAGATTCGAGAGGAACGAATCCAGAGAAGAGATCCCCGGTCAGGGAATTGGGTAGACGGGTGATCATCGATAAATCGAAAGCGTTGGGGGGGGACGAGTTGGTCGAGGAGGGGAACAAAAGCGTGGTGGCCGAGGCTCGTAAAATCGTGGAGCCTAGAGCGTCGGTAAAGATGATCCGTCCTATCGTCGATCGTTCCCTGTCCGTTCGCGCCTCTTCCGCGCCCAAGGCTGGCCAAGAACGCGGGAAAAATTCCGTCCCCAAAATCCATTCCCAAAACGAGAATGTATTACCGTCACGTAAAAATAAGAATTCGAACGGGAGGAATAATAATTACCCTTTGAATCTTTCGAGCAGCAACCTGAGCCTTAGCTCGATAATATCCTCGGACGTGGACATGAAACGATCGAATTCAGTGTTCGACGAGTTGATGACCTCGTTCGAGGAAGATGAGAATGGTTCGTTCGTTCCATCCTTGAAATCCCTTCTGAAAACCGATTCCTTGTCCAGCCCGGTCCACGCGTCCAGACATCGCAACGGCCGTATCAGCGACGAGGAACTGTCTTCGCCCGAGAGCTACAAGAGGCAGGATCACAATAAAATGAGCGGAGATTCCGCTTACAGCAGGTAATTTGATCTTATTCGGATTTGCCTCCTCTTTATTTATTTTCTATCATTCGAATTCGAATTCGAAGCACAGTGTTATGCTCCCGCGTTGTGCACCTAAGAATCACCCTTCCATTTCTTCCTCCTCTTTAGTTTAAATCGCAAATATTCACACCACGGACGCAGCACCAACGACGTAGCCGGACGTTTCGACGAGGATACGTCGAGGAACAACCGTCGTGACGGGGACGGTGGTGGGGGGATCCACGTGGTCAAGTGCAAGATGTCCAAGTATTGCCATCAGTGCGGCTTCAAATTCCCCGAAACCGCCAAATTTTGTTGCGAATGCGGCATCAGGAGGCTCGTGCTCTGAAACTTCCGGCTGGTCGACAGCCATGAACGACTTCAAAGAAGAAGCGATCAACTTCGAGTAAATTGTCAAACAATCTTCGATCGTAGACATTTTCTTTTTTTCTTTTTTTTTTTTTCTTCTTTTTCTTCTTCTTAGACAAAAGGCAAAAAAACTTCAAAACTTTAAAATTGCAGATTAGATGATAGAACGATTCGAATGTAAACACAAGGTTCAAGAACAAATGCAAATGTCGAAGCACGGATGATGATAAAAAAAAAAAAAAATATCGGCACACGAAGGAATTGAAAAGAAGAGTTTATTTTTAAATATTCGTGGAACTATTTAGAGAAGAGAAGAATTTTATTCTTGCAGTTTAGAATTCAAAGCTATGTATTTATCTACGTATACTCTAGTCACATGTTTGGTCTATTGGTGAAATTTAAGAGAAGAAGTTTTAAAAAAAAAAGAAATGATGAAATTTATCTGGTATATCAGGGAACACGAGGAACCAGAAATCTGTCAAACAAGAGATAGCTGAGATTTCTATTACATATATATTTTTTGATTAGCAAGAGAGAGGATTAGATTTTAAAAATTTAATTGGTTCAAGATTTCACATTCTTCCAATATTCAGAATCAAACTTGTTCTATGTGAAGATTCGTATGAAACATTGGTACGAAAATCGAATAAGAACGAATGATAAAAGTTGCAGAACGTAATACAATGATATTGTTCATAATTATTCGAATTATTTTATGTAAATCGCGTAAAATCTATAATATTTTATATTTATTGGAATATATGATAAAATATGAAAAATTTGCACGAATATATGTGTACGTAAGATCTAAATTGTAAATTTGAATCAATAAGAAAAATCCTTGGCTGTAAGAATTATCAGATTTATTCACGTAATAATTTCTGGTACTAAATTCTGATTGATGGAATAATCGATTATTCGAATAATTGTGAACAATCGATTATTGTACAGCATTACGAACGGATATATTTTATTGAAATTTCATTAATTTATTAAGCGTATGCGTTATTGAAAGAGAACTTTACGTTTGCTTTTTGTTGAAAAACAAGTACTTAACGCGAAAGGACGGAAATGATAATTTTATAGTAGCGTTCTCGGTTACATTGTTCATTGTTGGTAATATTACTTACGCCTCTTTTTACTCATTCAATTTTACGTCTGTGAACAAAAGCGATATATTAAAATCCGTCTTCTTTTTCCTTATTCTATTTGTCCTCGAATAACAATTTTTTTATGCTTTTTATATACGCGAATGGGCACGAACGAAGAAGAAAAATGAAGATGAAAATCGAATCACGTATTTTATAAGTGTGTGTGTAACAAAACGATCGTAGCGTAAGTTTAAAGAAAGTATTTATTAGAAATAGATGAATTGCTAGTACAATTTTCGCGCTCGAATAACAATCGGTTAAATCTAAAATTGCTAAAGTTAACAAATTACGGGTGAGTAACCAAATGCACCGTTTTTTTTTTTTTTAATATAATAACAAAATAAATAACAACGTAAGATTTTTATTAAAAGAAGAATGAAAGCTGAATAATAGCCGCTACAAAATCTGCCGAAATAACGTTTAATATTCTATTGATGAAAGCGATTCGTTACTACTTATCCATTCTCTGGTGTCCAACGAATACCAAAGTGAAAAATCGAACCGATTAGCAAAGAGATATAAACCAAACTAATTGTATACTATCCTAATAACGTAACAAATTGTCTATGTTTTGAACTGTATTTTTGCAAGTGCAATAAAGTTATGCTTGTACAAAATACGAGTGCTACCCACTGTGCTACTTTTACAACTATCTCCTGGTACTCCTTGAAAACAGTCATGATTCACCGTTTTACTTCTTTTATTAAATGACAAGCAAACGAATATCACCTTGTTCACGTTAATTATACTTCATACCGCATACACGAACTTCAAGAAATAATGTTGCGATCCGTGAATCATTTGCCGCGATTTATCGCAAGGAGTAATGTAATTATCAGAAATATTGATTTTTTTTCTTCGACGAATAAATCTGATTTTTACTTTTCCGCTTTTCTTCCAGCGATTCCCTTCGCAAACTCAGCATCTGAAGCAGGAAAGTGGTCGGTATTTTCACGTAAATTTCAGTCCAGGTCAGGAAAAAGTGCAATGTGGTACAGACACGAATGTAAAGAATTTTTAATACAAATTTCCCATTTCCATTCTATCATTTTATCGAATTTACGGTATTTATGAATTATAAATTATTTTAATATCTCATATATTTTTTTTACAGAATTATCCCGTGATAGATCATTGTTACGATGTTGTGGTTGTGGGCGCGGGTGGTGCAGGATTGAGAGCTGCCTTTGGTTTAGGTAACTTTATCACAAATCACATTTCAAAATTAAATCGAGATAATAATATTCTTTTTTTTTTTTTCTTCAATCTTTCAATTTCAACTTTAAATTCTTTTTTGTTAAATAGGAAGTAAAGGGTACAGAGTGGCAGTGATTACAAAATTATTTCCAACGAGATCTCATACCGTGGCCGCTCAGGGAGGAATAAATGCCGTCCTTAACAACGATAAGGATGATAATTGGCTTTATCACATGTACGATACCGTTAAAGGATCTGATTGGTTAGGAGATCAGGATGCGATACATTTTCTAGCGAGAGAGGCAGCACGAGCCGTTTACGAACTTGAAAATTACGGTAATTTTATGAAATAGATATCAGTATTACAAAATTCTTGCGAAAGGCGAGAAATTGAGAAATTAAAAAAAGATAATGAATATATATCATCAACGAAACTACTGTTCACTGGAGTTGATAAGAAGTCTCGCGAAAAGAAATGCCTATTTTCACATTCATTTTTATTTCTATCATGATATTTGTCACATATACTAATCCAAAACGACAATCTCAATGCATTAGCATTTGCAATATATAGGCACAGAATCCACAGAATTTTAACATATACACATATACATACTATAGATATATTAATATTATATCAAAGTAATTAATAATTTCGAAAATGTTTCAGTTTCCAATCTTAAATGATTATCCTAATGTAACTTCATAAGTGAAAATAATTTTTACGATTTTGAATATTTAAATTATAGCTCTTCTACTATTATGCAGTGTGTGGTGTCAGGATTATCAACAAAGTGTCTAAAGTGGGGATAGGCGGATAGGCGGTCCTAGCGAAGGATTCCTCTTGCCCCTGTGTCCCTGTCCCGCGTGACTTCTTTCCACCAATGAACAGTACTTTACTGTACTTTAACGTAACGTAACGTTGAAATTGAAAATTCTCAATTCAAATTTAATGATCCCTTTAACAATCTTAAAATACTTAATAATTCGTAATAATAATACGATAAATCAAATAAAAAGTAAAAGTGGTAAAAGTTTTTCTTAAATATATATATATTATATAATGATATTTTAGGCTGTCCTTTCAGTCGTACGGAAGATGGAAAAATTTACCAGCGCGCATTCGGTGGTCAGTCGTTAAAATTTGGAAAGGGTGGTCAAGCTCGTAGAACTTGCGCCGCTGCAGACAGAACTGGGCATGCAATACTGCATACTTTATACGGGCAAAGTTTACGTTACGATGTCCATTATTACGTGGAATATTTTGCCCTTGATCTTCTTATGGTCGGACGGTGCTGCAAGGGCGTAATGGCATGGGAATTAGAATCTGGACTTTTGCATCGATTCAGAGCTCATCATACGGTAAATTCATTTTTCATCGATAATAAAATATTTATTATATGTATAATTGTATACTGTATCTCTTTTTTTAGAATCTGATAAGAAATATTTTTATTATTTTTTTAATACAAGAATTAGTCGAGACAATTACAATTGGAATTAGAATTAAGCTTTATGACTATATTTCGGTTTTCAAATTTTAACATATAATGGAACAATATATTTTTTATACATAGTATTCACTTTATTGAATTATTAAATTATTGAAGTTTTCAATAATTTTTGTATAAAAATATGTTATTCTGCATTTATGTTTCCGTTTATTTTTTTCTCATAAATCGTTTGGATTGTACATATCATATTCATCGGTCTTTCAATCGTGTAAAAAAGAATTCCAGTCACCTTATCTTTAGTATCATATTACCATATTATTCCGCGAAACACGTGACGATCGTTAAGCTTTACAGGACCAGACCAGATAACAGCTCTGTTTGAATCTTAACAAGAATTTTGCGTATTATTTATGCGTTTATTGTTCATTGGATGGAAAGAAGTCTCGCGGAAGAAATGCAGATCTGATTGATTAAACCATGGAATTTGTCACATATACTAATCCAAAAATGATCCGTATCTAAATCTCGATGCATTAGTCTAGGCATCCAAAGAATTCTAATGTATCGATATGATATAAAATTTTTTTATTTTTCGTAATATGTGTAAGTTAATTACATTTGTAAACAGTAGTTTAATTTATAAATGTAATTTTGTATTAAGATAACAATATAGTTAAGATAATAATTATATATATACAAATAAAACATATTATCAAAATAATTAATAATTTTGAAAATATTTCAGCTTCCAATCTTAGATGATCCTAATGTAACTTTATAAATGAAAATAATTTTTACGATTTTGAATATTTAAATATATAATAATATATATAAAAATATATATTATAGTTCTACTACTATTTAGTGTGTGGTGTAATTGTAACAAAGCGTCTAAAGTGGGGATAGGCGATCCTAGCGAAGGATCCCTCTTGCCCCTCATCCCACGTGACTTTTTTCCACCAGTGAACAGTACTTATACGTAACATGTGAATCATATACACATAATATACATATATACAATTTATATAAACAAATATGTATATATGCAATTTTTTAACGATAAATCTAAGTTTACCGATTTGATGATTAAATTTAAGATCGATGTCGAATCGAGATAATATAAATATAAATATATAAAGAAGCTGATACTTTTTCCAGGTATTAGCAACAGGAGGAGCGGGAAGATGTTATCTCTCTTGCACCGCGGCTCATACATGCACAGGAGATGGTCTTGCGATAGCCTCTAGAGCAGGATTGCCCCTTGAAGATATGGAGTTCATCCAGTTCCATCCAACCGGTATTCGCGTGGCAAAAAAAGGAAAACAAAATATGAAACCAAGAGTAAATGATTTCCACGTTTAACCAGTTGATCTTTCTTCCAGGGATATATGGAAGCGGCATTTTAATAACGGAGGGCGTCCGAGGGGAAGGTGGAAAGTTGGTGAATTCTCAAGGAGAATTTTTCATGGAACGATACGCTCCAAACGCGAAGGATCTCGCATCTCGTGATATCGTCTCCAGGGCGATAACGATGGAAGTATTGGAAGGAAGGTGAATTTCAATAATGATTTTTTTCAAATTGTTTTCACGCATAATTAGATTGTATTATGTTAATATTTTTTGAATTATTATTTTAAAGAATACTGACATAATTGATATTTTTTTTTAAAAAAAATCGTAGATGGAAAAAAACTTAAAAATGTTTGTAAAATCATTATATAATAAATTTGCTGTTGAATAATATTGCAAAAAAAAAAACTCGAATCTTCGTAATAACTTTGATAGAAAATTGACATGTTTTCCAATTACATAAGATAAATTATGTAAAATTTACTATGAATTCAAAGTTTCTAATAAAAATAAAAAAAAATCATAGTTTAAATAATTTTATATTATTTTTTTTGTAATATTTGTTTACATATAATACTTCCATATGATGCTCTTTTTAAATTACTTAAAACATTGTTTAAAATCATAAAAATTCTTAAAAAACATCTAAGAATATATTCCAATCTGTATCAATCTTATAATAACACTTTTCATAATCCGTTTAGAGGTGTAGGTTTGAAGAAGGATCATGTGTACCTGCAATTGCATCATCTACCATTAGAAACGATACGAACACGATTACCCGGAATTTCACATTTATCTTGGGTGTTCAGCGGCGTGAATGTGGAAAAAGAGCCGATACCAGTTATTCCTACGGTACATTACAACATGGGCGGTATACCCACAAACTGGAAAGCGCAGGTAAATTGTAAAAACAATATAGGTGACCTAAATAGATCAAGTGTAACGTATGAATCATCGAATCGTGGATAAGGTTCTATCGCGTGAGAACGAGGAGGACACCATTATCGATGGACTTTGGGCAGCAGGTGAAACTGCATGTGTATCTATCCATGGTGCCAATCGATTAGGCGCCAACAGCCTTCTGGAATTGGTCGTTTTTGGCAAAGCAATTGCCGATCAAATTGATTGTTTAACGAGGCCTGGTGAACGTCACGAGGATTTATCAACCGTAAGAATTTTATTATTTGTATTATATTTATTTTATAATTTTATTATATTATTTTTTATTTCATGAAATTGACATGTGTCAAGAATTGCAAAATACTTGATTCACTATTGCAGAATACTTGACAGTTATTTCAGCCAAAATCGTCGAATATTAGATAGTCGTCTTTCTTTTTAATAAATTTTTCATATTTTTTCTTTATCTTTATATTGATTGAGGAAAAAAATAATATATTTTTCTAAATAGTACAATTCCTGGTCATCAAACATTTTTTTTTTCTTTAAGGATATTATGTTTTATACGTTTCTTTAAGGATATATATTTTATAAGTAGAAAATTATTCTTGAAAGTTATTCAAATTATACTAGTTTTATTATTTGATAAATTCAATTTAATAAAAACAAAATATTATAATGTATTTTTTTAATTTTTTTAATTTTTTTTTTTTTTTTTTTAAATATAATGAAAAAAATGATCTTTAAATATATTTAATCTATAATATTAAATTACTTTTAAAATGTCTATTTAATATACTGATAAATTTTATTTACTTTTTAATCTTAAACGATTAAAAAATAATGATATCTTATTAAAACTAATTAATGAATATCTTGAACATATTAAGAGATATAATATTGTTCTTATATCTAAACTAAACTTTCAATATTAACTAATCATAGCAAAAAGTACACAATATATTAATACAGTATATTTTGCATCGAATATTAAAAAGCATTAAAATAGAAAAGAATAACATTGAAAAGTTATAAATAAAGACAAATTAAAAAAACAATTAATGTTGTAAATTACAACAATGTAAATTTATCGTATGTTGTTTTTTGTAACGTTATCTCGTTTTCTATTTTTAATGGTGATTCACATATATGTGAGGCAATCAAGTTATCAAAGTTCAATTGGAATGTTTTTATAATTAATATTATCATAATTATGCGCTGCAATTACTTAAACTATTATGAACTTCAATAGAAAACTATTTAAAAAAATTGCATTTATTTATTTAATTTAACATTAAAATATTTTTTTGAATGTTATATTTTAAATTATAATATTAAAAAAAACAGTTTAATTCATCAACTTCCATTCATAATCCTCTATTCAATAAACACTTTCATTCAACAATGACATTCGAATCGAATTGATTGATGACAACAATAAAGAATAGAATACTAGCTATTATTAACTTTTATTATCATTTTCCTTCTGATGAGTATATTTCAAACATTAAAATTTGTATACAGTTGATTGGCGAGGACACTATTTGCCGTTTCGACGCGACACGTCATGCAAAAGGTTGTGTTCCTGTAGTCGAACTACGGGAAGAAATGCAGCAAACTATGCAGAAATATTGTTCAGTATTCAGAACCTGCGATACATTACAACGAGCATGTCGTGAGATGACGCGACTTTATACCTGCGATTTGCCGGATCTATGTGTAGGTGAATTGATCGAAAAGTTCCATTTACGTAAGATCGAACTATAGTCTTAACCTGCACGACATTCAATGTTTCTTTCACAATTGCAATAATTGTTATATAATTATTAATTGGCGAATGATATGAACAGAGCAATATTTTTCTAACTTTCCGCCAAATGTTGTTATTATATTTTACAAGTAAAAAATAAAAAATATTTTATTAAAAAATTATAGCAAAAATGTGAAATAACATTTAATGCATTATAAAGATTAATATATTAATATCATAGTATCATCATAATATACTATCATCTAACATTTTCACGTTGAAATGTATAATAATAATAAAGTAAATCAAATTAATCACATATTGATTTTATACATTTTATATCCAATCAAATAATTTTATAACAAAATATTTAAAATTCTTTTACGGAATAATTTATTATTTATTGATATTAATTGATCCACAAGTTATAGGTTATGAATCTCGATTTTACTATTTAAAAAAAAAGATATAAAGAATAAACAAATGACTTAGAAATTCGTGAAATTTATTTCTAAAATTTCATTTCATAATTTATAACTTGTTATTATTAGTAAATTATTAATAAACATTATTAATAATTTAATTATGCGAGAGTACACATCGAAATTTTTTTTATTAATATTTTCTATTAAATATTTCCAATTTTATAACACAGTTACCAGGAATTTCACGTTTAATTTACTGTAGGTTCAAGATCAATCACTAATATGGAACACAGAATTGGTAGAAGCTATAGAATTACAAAATATGATGTTATCTTGCATGCACATCGTTTATGCAGCAGAAAACAGAAAAGAATCTCGAGGATCGCATGCCCGTGAAGATTTCAAAGTATTTGCAATTTTTGCAATGTGTAATTTAGTATATATATATATATAACTTGTTAATTTTCACGAAGAATTCAAACAAAAATTATATTTACAGGAACGAATCGACGAGTACGATTATACGAAACCGCTCGAAGGTCAAAAGAAACGATCGTATAAAGAACATTGGCGCAAACACACACTTACGTGGGCCCGACCAGATGGTTCAGTGAGTTATCAAACTTGCCCATATTCTATTATCGTTCATTCTGCAAATATATATATATATACATTCCTATACTACAGAAGATCATACAATGGAATTCTATTTATCTAAGTCAGTCGAAATGAATTTATATGAGTGTAGTTATATAATAAGAGATATCTATTACTATTATCTATAAATCTTTATTCAAATAATAATTCATATTTACGCATAAGTAAATTTAATAAACAAGAATTTTTTTTTAATTCGATAATAATTATAATTCTATTCTAATGAATAGAGTTCTATTGCATATTTATTATATTCTATTATATTTTTCTGAAAGAATCTTTTATTTCTTTGTTTAATGTAAAATATTCGAATTTATTTACTAATTGAATTCAGAATTTCACTAAAGACATTTTATTTATTTTTCTTTTCAAAAACTTTCTTATTGGTAAATATTTAGATTTGTATTATATTTAGATTTGTATATTACATATACATATATTGTTTTTTTTTTATTATTTTTCAAAAACAAATTTCAAAAACATTTATTATATTTTACAGATCAGCATTTCTTATCGTCCCGTTATCGATACGACACTGGACGAATCAGAAGCTCGACACGTTCCACCAACAGTTCGAATATATTAAATACGGTTATGAAACTGGTAGATTTTTTCCAATCTTTTTTCTCGTTTTTTTCGTCTGGTTCTATTCTATTTTTTAAATTAACGCATTATCAATGGCTAACATTGTTCGTGTTAGTGTGGCTGATAATTTAAATATGAGCTCAGTTCGTTATCTCGAAATTACAACGACACATATAGATTTCGTCGTTTGTAGAAGGTTCGTGAATTCTATATAAATTTTGTTCATCGCATTCAAACGATATTACAACAACTAATTCTAAACAGAAGCGGGGATTTATCCATTTTATTTACATATTAAATAGCCAACCAATCGTCTAACAAACGGAATTATACATATATGTTCTTCAATTATACATATATGCTTCCGAATGAAAGTCATTTTTTTCTGCTGTTTACGACTATTTTCGAACATTATTCATTCATTTCAACAAGGTGAAAATGATTATTTGGAAATTTTACATTGATTTGCTATATTTCGTAAGATCGAATCATTGATGAATAATTGACGTGCATAAAAAACATGCATGATATTATTACATTCTATATTACTTAATTACATTCGATGTATGTGATAAATGCAACGAAGTTATATAATTAAAAATATATATAATATAATTTTACGATCTCATTGTATCGAAAAAATGTAGCAATTTCAAATACATTAATCTAAAAAATTTTTAATTTTTTTCTTGCATTTTGATTTGTAAATTGAATTTTTCAAATATTTAATTTATTATATACTTTATATATTATTATATCTTTAAACAAATCAATAAAATTTTTCAATAATTACTTACTATTAAAATATTATATAAAATATATAAAATATATTCATAAAATATTTAAAAGATTTATATCATTTATAAGCTTAGCCATGAACACCTACACTAACTATATACGTGGAAGTTAACCTGTTTCATAAATTATTCCTATAGCAACACCAATACTTGAATTATTATTGTGTTAGTAGCATCTGGTTGAAAGAGAAACCTGCTATGTAATACCCCACCATATAGTATAAAGTTTATCTATGTATGTAGAGACGAGCCCACAAAGAACAACCAATAGGGAAGCAAAATATACATCGTACCGCCAACCCTGGAGCACGATAAATCTTTTTCATTTTTTCTCCGCGTGCAACAGGAAATAAAGCTCAGTTAAGCACCGTTAGTGACTATGTTAACAATTTTGTAAAATATGAATTTTTACAAAATCAATATCATGAAATTCAAAATATAATGATAGATTTTGAATATTTTAAAACTCTTTAAAAGATTTCAAAATCAATTCGCATAGAATCATTATTTCATTAAATATGATAAAATTTAAAATCTAGAATGGCTGTATACATATAAATAATGTTACTTTTATGTTTAACAACGAAGCTTTATAGTTTTCAACTTCAATATTAATTCTTATAAAAATTTATTAAATGTATTTAAAATTTTTAGTCTTTTTCATTTAATTTTTATTATTGAGATCATAGATAAATATATGATATACATTATTAAAGTTAATACTAGAGTACTTTCCCTTTAGAACCCACGCAATTCACAGCTATGTATATAATTTTGAAATACCGTTAACACCCCATCATATGTAAAGTGAAATGAGAACCGCTTAATTTTTTCGCGGTATCATTTAATTTTCCCGCCTATAGTTAGCTACTATTCATAATATTAACTTCAAAATTCCGAAAGATTAAGAATTAATATTAAAACAGTTATATGTTATTAATGTTAAAAACAATCAAGACATATGAATAATAAATAATGAAATGGAAATTTAAAATTAGCGAGAGCCTTAAAGGTGAGGTTATCTTATAACGATACAATTGGCAGCACTGGTATTCATCAGGGAGCTTCCACCAGTAGTCGGTACTCAACCGACTCGAACGTTTCACATCGCCGTGCAAGAAGTGCGGGAGTGAAATAATAAAAATTAGGGTTAGTTACACGATATAATCGAATCGCGCATTTGACAAATAAGTGCGCGTGTAATTATTAATAATAAAAATTTTCACTTGAACAGGTGACATTATATCAAAATGAGTGGTCTATTAAAGCTGTCGTCTTTACTAGTGAGAAATCCTCCCACAACGACGTTGGTAAGTTGGTTTTCGTTAAGTTATATAATTTTTAATCTAATGGTGTATCTTTATCATATAATATCTAACATTGATCAATTACGTAAGATTGCTAACATATATTAATGGACCAGTATCGATTCACTGAATTTCTCTGTTATGAAAATCATAATTCTTTATATCTATTTTAAAATCACGAATAAAGAAATATCTATTAAACCTAATATTTGAAATTATAATAATTAAAATATGCATTCGAAATAGATAAAAGAACGTTTAGCACATATCGAATGTCTCTTTTTTGCCGCACTTCCCTCATTTCTTACGCGCCACCCCACTAGTAACCGGCCTATACAATAATCGTGATTTTTCATTGCAAAGTAGGTAACGGTGATTCTAATTTCCGTTATCTTCATTAAACAGATAATTATTTATATATTTTTTATTTTGATATCGAATTTAAATAATCAATTGTGAAATTAGAAGTTTAATTATAATTGCGAATGAATTACCGGCATGGGAAGTTGACATTAGCGCGAAATTACATTCTTTAAATTATGATTTCATGTGTTATAAATTCAATGACGCTATTATCTTCAAGTTTCTCCGACTTGTATTCATCGCATTATGTTATTCATAAATGAAAACGCAATAGAATTATTTCAGAAGATTACTAAATCGTTAATTTTCATATTCAAGAATTCGTGTGATATATATTATATTTTAAATATATTTTAAAACGAAAAATTTTTTGAATATATTTGTTCAATTTAAATGTATCAATTTAAATTATATATAAATATATGATATATTTTTATAGTATAGAATAAAAAGTTTGTATCTCTAATCATATATATTTTTTTTATAATGCTCTATATGATGAATAACAGATAATATAACGAATACACGTGATGAATACACAGATAATAATATTATGATCTTATTATGAAACAATCATTTTCAATTTGATAAAAGGAATTACTTTACTTTTTGATTTAATTAACTTTCAAAAATTTAAATGATAATATATTTTTTCATTTTATATTTCGATAAAATTTTTTAAATATAGTTAACCTCTTGTTTCATATGTCTTAATTAATTACATATTAATTTTATATATTATAATTAATCTTAATATTATAAATATTATAAATTATCATTAAAAAATATTTAAAAATTATTATTTATAAATTATTATAATTATTAAAAATTATAAATTGAATTAATAAAAAAATAATTTATTTTATCTTTAAACAAATTTTGTTGAAATATAATTTTAATTAAACGAAAAATATCCGAGATTAAATTTTCGTTTAGATTGTTAATGTTGCAATATCAATGTAAAATTAATATATTATGTGTAAAATAAGTATTAATATCAAATTATCGAATTATTTATTAAATCAATTTACGTTTTGAAATGATTTAAATAGTGTCACATTACTTTTTTCAATTCAATTTCTAAAAGGTTTTATAAATAGAGCATTAATGCAATAATGGTTATCCTATATATATATATGAATTATCATGTATATAAGTATGTACATGTATATATATACTTACATCTATGCATAGATGCTATGGAATAAAATTTAGTTATGATTTTGTAATTACTATATATATATATATATATATATATTATTTTTATTCTAATTAGTCAATTATTTTTTCACATTATTTCAGAATAAATTGGGATTACCTGTTATTATAAATCGCAAATTACATTATACACCAGATGGCAAAGCTGCAAAAATCTCAGATGGTGTTTCTAAGCATTATCCATTAGTAGATCATACTTATGATGCTGTTGTTGTTGGTGCTGGTGGAGCAGGATTACGTGCAGCTTATGGTTTAGTTGCTGAAGGATTTAAGACAGCAGTTGTTACTAAATTATTTCCTACAAGGTCACATACTGTTGCTGCTCAAGGAGGTATCAATGCTGCCTTGGGTAATATGGAAGAAGATAACTGGCAGTGGCATATGTATGATACTGTGAAGGGATCTGACTGGTTAGGTGATCAGGATGCTATTCATTATATGACACGTGAAGCTCCAAAGGCAGTCATTGAATTGGAGAATTGTGGCATGCCTTTCAGTCGAACTTCAGATGGTAATATTGTTATTAAATATATTTAATACTATGCCTTATTTATAAAGTATATAGAAATTCTTTTTTTAATTTTATATGAGTCATAAATATACATAATAACATAATATATTCATGATTTTTTAAATAACAAACTACACAAGGAAAAAGTTATTCAAACATTAATTAATTATAAACACAATCACATTTATATAACCAATTATCATGTGCTTATGAACTCATATCTGATATGTCACTTGTATTTGTATCTGTTGAACAACCTGAAGTAATTGAATCAGTATCAGATTCAGTATAATTTTTATTCTTGTTAGGTCTTTTTGGTTCCTGCAATTAAAAACATTTACAATAAAATAAATAAATAAATATATATATATATATATGTAAATTTACTTATTTTATTTGTAATATATCTTAAATAATTATCTTAAATAAGATATTAACCTTCTTTTTTTTTTCTTTCTTGCCAGGTTTTTCTTGTTTTTGAGAGTCATCATTCTTTGGTTGTTCTATATTTATATTTTCAATTTTATATGTATTTTCAGTTTTCTGTTGATTTTGTTTCTTATTTCTAATGTCCATAGCTGCCTTTAAATATGGCTGTTTTTCATCAGAAGACATTTTCTTCCATCTTTCTCCAGCCATTTGAAATATTCTACTACTTTTTACACCATCATAATTCTATAAAAATATTTTTCTTCGTATTAAAACTAAATAAATAAATATTTTATGTTTAATTTGTGCTTACTTGTCTGAAATCCTGAACAAAATTTATAAAAGCATTGGAACTCCAATGTCTAGAACTTTTATATGGTGAACGAGAACGAGAATGGGCTCTTTGATTCAAACTATGTAAATAATAAATATATATATAATAAATATAATAATAAATATAATATATATATAATAAATATAATAATAAATATATATATATAATAATAATGAAAATTATTATTTAAATAATTATAATTAATAAATTTATAACAGATAAATTATAAAAATAAATAATAAAAATATATAAATTACCTATTTGACTTCAGTTTAGAATTTGATTTAGACTCTATTATTTTTTTAATTTGTTTACTTGTATTATATTCTCCATCTTTAAAATTTTCTTCATTAGATCCATCACAATTTTTGTCTTGGTTTATATTTTTATCCATAATTGAATATATATAATTTGTAACTTTTTAATATTTATAACAATGTTTCAACATTTTTATTCAAAAACATTATTTTAAATTTATTATTCTAAAGAAATAAATATTATTACTACCAAAATTTATAACAATATCAAAAAATGTGTTGATATAAATTTGTTATTGATACTTAAAAATAACAAATCATATTTTATGGTTGCTATGTACTTAAATATATATTATTGTATTTCTAATAATGTGAATATGGTTATATTATATAATTTTAATTTCAAATTAAAGTTTATATAATATAATAGAAGAAGAGAAAATAAGAGTTAAATTATATATAAAATAATTATAAATTACTAATAAGTTGAACCTTTATATATATTCAAAATATTATATCAAATATAAAATTTTTCCTGATATAATAATTTCTATTTTAGGTAAAATATATCAACGTGCTTTTGGTGGACAATCTCTGAAATTTGGAAAAGGTGGCCAAGCTCACAGATGTTGCTGTGTAGCAGATAGGACAGGTCATTCTTTACTTCATACATTATATGGTCAATCCTTGAGTTATGACTGTAATTATTTTGTTGAATATTTTGCTCTGGATTTATTAATGGAAGATGGAGAGTGTAGAGGAGTGATTGCTCTTTGTTTGGAAGATGGTACACTTCATCGTTTTCATTCTAAAAACACAGTATTAGCAACTGGAGGATATGGACGTGCATATTTCTCTTGCACATCTGCTCATACATGCACTGGTGATGGCACTGCAATGATATCTAGAGCCAATTTACCTAATCAAGATTTGGAATTTGTGCAATTTCATCCTACAGGTATAAAATAATATACAAAAGTTGCTTCATATGATTAAATAGTAATATTATATATTTATGAAATTATTTTAGGAATATATGGAGCTGGTTGTCTTATCACAGAAGGTAGTCGTGGTGAAGGAGGCTATCTTGTAAATAGTGAAGGTGAAAGGTTTATGGAACGTTATGCTCCAGTTGCAAAAGATTTAGCCTCTAGAGATGTTGTATCTAGATCTATGACTATTGAAATTCGGGAAGGCAGGTAAATTATATGAATGTATACAATATATTTAAATCATATAATAAGTGAAAATAAATATTATTATCAAAATTTATAACAATATCAAAAAATGTGTTGATACAAATTTGTTATTAACACTTAAATATAACAAATCATATTTTATGGTTATTATTTACTTAAATATTCTATTTGAGAAGAAATAAATGGACAATATTTTATTATTTTTCAATTTTGAGATATTAAAAAATGTATAAATAATATTTAATTTTTCCTGATATAATAATTTCACAACACAATTCACAAAAAATTATTTAATTAAGATTATATTATAATATATATTATAATACACATAATTTATTTTTATTTAGAGGTGTTGGTCCTGAAAAAGATCATATTTATTTGCAATTACATCACTTACCACCTGAACAGTTAGCAGCTAGGCTACCTGGAATCTCTGAAACAGCAATGATATTTGCTGGAGTTGATGTAACCAGAGAACCTATTCCAGTTATACCTACGGTACATTATAACATGGGTATGTATAACATCTTATTTTCTTTCAAAAAATGTATTGCTATATTTTATAAATATCATAAATATGTTATATAATTTAATTTCATATTATTAAAAATTTTATTATATATTTATTATATTTTTATATTAATATTTTAAATTATATTATATAATTTTATTATATATTTTATTATATAGGAGGAATACCTACAAATTATAAAGGACAGGTTCTAACGAGAAAAAATGATCAGGATACAGTTGTGCCCGGACTTTACGCTTGTGGAGAATCAGCTTGTGCATCTGTTCATGGTGCTAATCGTCTTGGTGCAAATTCATTATTAGATTTAGTTGTATTCGGCCGTGCCTGTGCTAAAACAATTGCAGCGGAAAATAAGCCAGGAGAAACTATTGGTCCTCTAAAACCCGTTAGCATAAATTTTTATTATGACTATTAGATAATATAATGGAAAATTATTATCATAATCTATTTTATTCTATTATTATATTCTAATATATTTTAGAATGCCGGAGAAGAAAGTGTGGCGAACTTGGATTGGGTCAGAAATGCGAATGGTAATGTTTCTACTGCAGAATTAAGATTGAGCATGCAAAAAACTATGCAAACTCATGCAGCCGTATTCAGAACAGCGGAAACATTACAAGAAGGTATAATTTCAGATCAAAATTTAATTTAAAATTATTTTAAAAATAGAAATGATGATATTTGAAATTAAAGTATTCTTAAATTCTATCAGGATGTCAGAAGATGTCTGCCTTATATAAAAAATTGAACGATCTTAAGGTGTTGGACAAATCTATGATATGGAATTCTGATCTTGTAGAATCTCTTGAATTACAAAATTTAATGATCAATGCCATGCAAACAATAGTAGCTGCTGAAAATAGAAAAGAAAGTCGTGGGGCTCATGCACGTGAAGATTTTAGAGATAGAATCGATGAATATGATTACAGTAAATCAACAGAAAACCAAAAACCTAGACCATTGGATCAACATTGGCGAAAGCATACACTTACAAAAATAAATGTTAGAACAGGAGAAGTAAGTATTAAATATAAAATAAATAATGTAACTATTACTTCTTTCTGTTTAGCTTAATAAATTAAATTTTTTTTTAGGTATCTATCGATTTCAGACCAGTTATAGACAATACTTTAAATAAACAGGAATGTGCGACAGTTCCACCCGCAATTCGTTCCTATTAGAATTTTTTTTCGAAGTAAATAATTTTATTTTTTTTACATTCCTTTTAGTAAAATTTTTTCGTCTTATCTATTTAAAATTGTCTATATGTAGAATTTGTATAATTTTTGTACAGGAAGGAGCAACCGACAAGGAGAAGTTACCGATATCCTATCATTACAATGCAGCAATTTTATTTATTATTGCACGTGAATCAGATCGTGCACCAAAGTGTAATTCTTGTCAATACTTGCACGTGTTGCAAGCAAGATTAGTTGTCCTTGTAGGATAATGGTGCTGAAATTATCTTCATTATTTTAAAGAAGATTTTAATCGATCTCTTAGCAAATCAATGCTACATTTATGTAAATTGAATAGTAAAATATTCTAGCGTGATTCAGGCAGCAAATAATTTCACGCACAGATCTTTTAAGGAGGAACGTTCTGTCTACCTCTACAATTTTGCAGTATTTCTCTTTCTGTAATTCTCAGTCGGAATAATGTCTTTTTCTACCGAACAATTTTGCAAATTCTATCTAATAATATTAAGAGTTATTTAATGAAGATATTTTGTACGATAATTCATGAGCTAGTACTCCCTAAAAGGTTGTGCAGCAAGAGTATGCCACTTTAGATGCGGCTATATACTTAACATTAACAGGTTAATATAGAAACAGTCTTAATCACAAGAATAACAATTAAACTTGATTTGTTTGTGATCAAAACTAGATCATATTTTGTATTTGATAGTATAAATTTATTCTCTAATATAGAATAATGCTGTTTGTGTTTTTAGTTTGGAGTGTCAGTACTTATATCGTTCAATATGTAGCTTGGTTTGGATTTTGTTTGATTATCTGTTTCTACGTTGCCTGTTATAACAGTCATGTATTATTTTTATCGTACCATATATTTCATAAATAATCTCGAATAATATCGAAATCAATAAGTACATGGATGAAATCGTGTACTTTAATATAATTTAATCTGAAAAGATATGCTGCGCAGCATGATATGTACATAAATTTGTCAATAAAACAGAAATCTTCATTCTTCTACTTATAAAAATTATTTTTCCGTGTAAAATGTACGTATAAAGTTTTTCTTATTAAGTTGTATTTATTTTTGTTTATTTATTGCTATATTGTATTTATAAAAAAAACACTATATTCTTGACGAATATCGTTTATTAAACCCATAATAATAATAATTTTTATGTTCTGGTCATAAATAAGAATTTTACGGATTAAATAAAAATTGCTACCAAACATATTTTCTAAAGCATTAAACTAAAGCTCGTAGCTAATACTTCAGAAAATGTTTACAAGTTACAATTTAATTTAAAATGAACATGGACTTAATGAATATGTTCTCACATACGAAACATTATACCATCAAAGAATACACAGATATATTCAAAAATAAATTGTGCATAAATTATACAATCATTTTGTGAAATCTAATATTACAAACATTTTAATGAACGTTTTAAAAAATAATATGAAATGATAAAAATTCAATAAAATTATTGGCACCAACATAAATGCTTCTTTTTGATCATTTTTCTTGTAAATTATATATTATTTAGCCAAAATTGAGTAGAAACGTGATATTACGTGGAAAACAATAAGTGAAAAATAAGTTTCAGATTTGCTATTTTTTACTTGATAAATTTAAAATTACATTTTGCAATTTTGCAAAATCGTGATTTTCTTTTTCTATCAGAAACATGATGTATTTTTAATTTGTAAAAAAAAGTTTCAAGTTTATTCTTATACTTCTTATACTTCGACCGATATTTCTTCACAGTTCTGCTTCTTAAGTTAATTTTGTAATTCTCGGCATTTAACACCAAATCGGACAAATAAAAATATATCTTTAATATCTTTATATATCTTTAATATAATATGCAAAAATTTACGAAATGAATTTTTAATTGTATACAGAAAATTCACTGCATTTATAATTTAGTAATTTAAATTAACAAGATTAAATCTACTAATATAATACAAAAAATCTTTTTATGTATTATATTGCAAATTCTTTTTAATTGTCAAACTAATAGTTTTTCACTTTTCAGTAAAAATTTGATTTCTAATTTTGATTTAATGAATCTTTTCAATAGTACAATATATTGTTTCCATTCTTTAGATTATTTTTTTCGTGTCATTTGAATTATATTCAAAATATTAATTTTTTACAAATCACTCTAATATTAAATTTTACTGTTTAATCACGTAAAATGTTACTTAAACCTGGAACGTTGTGCATTTCTTCGAGATCAAATTGCATTAATTAATAAAGTTCTAAAATGTTCTTTTTTGTTATAAGCTAAACATGGGAATACTTATTACAGATCCGTAAAACAATGATACGAATGCGATGATGATTTAGAATAGAACAACTTATTCACGATCTATTACTATTTCGTACAAGTATCTTCTCGCTATCTTTGTCAAAATATTGCAACACTTCGTTACAGTAAAATATATATATATATATAATAAAACGCAATTTGAAAATTTGCACCAATGTTAACTAACCATTAATATCAACAAAACATAATTAAAATCCTCATTAATTTTTTTTAAATGTAATTACCAAATTACTAATTTATTAAAAATCAATAAATCAATTCATTAAATCAATTTTTAAAATTTTTTAAATTTAAAACCATTTTCCTAATTTGTTTTGTGATATTTTATACAGAATTGTGTAATAGTTGAAATAATGAAATTACGCGTCGAAGTTTGCCGCAACAATTAATATACATTTCGAATAAAATATGATTCGAAATTTATAATAATACAAAGATATCGAACGTCATATTGCATTATATTCTTAATTATGGATCTATCAAGAAGCATCGTCGATAGCGAAAATTCCGCATAGTAATTTTTCGCTTTTTTAAATCCAGATGGCGTTTTAATACATGATGATGAAAATAGCGAACATCGCTAGAGCTCTGACAATAAGAAGATTCTTCACTAATGGATCGTTCAAACGTAATGCCATCGTCAAACGGGAAGCCATGGGAAAAGAACGGTTTCATTGTCCGATGTTATTTGTCCCCGTTCTTGCTTCTGAGGAACATAATGTATCATCTATGCATCCAGAATCCACATTCACACGTTTTCAACTCGCACAATGGTGGTGGGGGTGATACTATATGGATGGTGGTGATGGATTAAGTCTTGTGCATTGTTGACGGTATACGACAACGTCTTTCTATGCATTCGTCGTTGAACACCGTTCACGAAGTAGCTCGTAGCTTTTCCAACGCGGGCACCAATGGTTCCTCGATAGAAGGTCCGCAACTCAGTCCACATTCACCAATCCATCTTGCTTTACCACTGGCATGGGACTGTAAAAAAAAATAATTACTTATTTGAACGATTTGTTTTAATATACTATACATTAAATATTCAAAATATTTGTAAAAAAAATAAAATTTATTTTTTAAATTATAATAAAATGATGTATTATATTTTTTTACAACAAACAATTGTAATTTTAAAATAATAATATCAACTACTGTATTTTACTGTCCTTGATCATATAGAAATGGTTATATAATTTGTACGTTTCATTTTATTTTTAAATTTATTTTATTATATTACTTTTAAATCTATAAATTTTTTTAAAAAATATAGCATTAGTAAATGTAATATTTATCTTTTGTTATATTTTTTACACACCATTCTTTAATCTTCAATCATTGATTAAAAAAGAAACGGAACTATTAAAACTCTATTATTATAAGTTGGCATTAAATTCAGCCTTTATCGACTGCTTCGCACGACCAACTTATTACAGCTTATCGCGAACAAAGCAGTCGTTGATGTGACCTTCGCGTTAACATGGGCTATTGTAAATGCCATTCGTGAAATCGATAAGAGCAATTGTCAGTTTTATGTCTAATATCAAACATTAAAATTGATTTTCCTTTTTATACTCTTTTGTTTATTTTCTTACCCAACAATTTAATTATAATCTGAAATTAATTAAAAATTGCATTTTATAAATGTGTTCAAATTAAAGATAGGTTAAAAATAGATTTTTTTATTTTTTTTTAACAGGTTGAAGCAATTTCTTTTTTTTTTTTCCACGATCATGAATGTTCATGTTTATTCGGGAAACAAATGGATAAAAATAACGAATCAATTGAGACTCTTTTTTAAAAATGTTTATAGAATACACAATAGGTCAAGGAGAAAAAAAATAGATCAAAAATAGATTCTTACCATAGTAAGGTCGCGTTTCCACGAGGTGCGGCAACGTCCGTCACAAAGTGGGCACGGTCGTTGAAGAGAATAACCACCACATTCACTACAATCGAGAGAAACGTGTTCTTCGCTCCACGAAACTCCACATCTGTAAAGAGATGTATAATAAGAAATATATTTTTTGAGAAGAATGAGAACATGAATGAGACATTAATTTTTTAATATTTATAAAAAAAATAAAATATTTATTACTTAATAAAAATAAAATGAGTATATAATAGTAAAAAAAAAAATAGAAAAATTGATCATGCAAAGAAGTGTTTTAATACTTTATTTCTATAATTATAAAATCATAAAGTGGAATTAATTATAAATCCAATAGGTTATGAAAATGTTCCAAGTTCAATCATTGCTCTATTACATATTTTTAATAAATAAATTTAGAAATCATAAAAATCCTGTGATCTTCATACTATTTTTTAAAATTTAATTTAATTTCTCAGAAATTGTTTTCATCTTGTAATTTCTAAAATATAAGAAATTATTTTAGTAACTTTATATTGAACTTTAATGTGAAAAATTAAAATTAAAAGTTTAAACCCGTGCAAACAAAAAATTTTAAAGAAGCGTGATAATTTTAAAAATAACGTGATTTAAAAATAATTGTTAGGAAAAGAATTATCAATTAATCTCAAGCCATAGGCAGTATAAATGACGCAACATTTGATAGAAACAATGGAGTCCAAGAATTAGAAGATTTAAGCTGGATTTTTCCAATCCAATTGATATATTTAATATTAAGACTAAGACAAAGCGTTATAGGACTAACGTCTAGAACAAATTCAATCATTGCAATTCGGATCATATCGGATTCTATTATCGATCTATTGTCCGTTTGACGTCGAGATAAAAGTTCAACTTGACTATAGTCAAAGAATTCTCAAGATTCTTATTTGTTACTTTATACATTCTTATTTGTCTCGATATATGTGATGCATGCTTTTTTAAGTGGGGCGATAGTAATTGTGCATACAGGACGATCGTGAAGCGATTAGAAGTCAATAGCCCAAGGAGAGCGCATAATTACTGACCTATATTAAAAATAATGCGAAGAAAGAACCGGTTAAGTTAATCGTTTCTGGTAACTTCTACTATTTATTACTATTAATCAGCAAATAAAGAATACAAATGTTTAATTTTTATTAAATATAACTTTTTTTATTAAATAACTTTTTTTATTAAATAATTTAACTTTTTTTATTAAATATAACATTTATTAAATATAACTTTATTTCCAGAATTCAAATTATTTTTTAAAAATTTAAGGTTATTTTTTTTTTTTTTTTGCTAATAATTTTAATTGTAAGAAAATTCATTTTTAATCATGTTAACTTACGTGAAACAAGAATTCAATTGAGCACGAAGTTCCTCAATAGTAAGGATTGTATCCTGATACTGAGGATGAGATCCTTGGAGGCCATCGTCAACGCTTCCGCACGAACTGTGGCAAGACAAAGAAATGTTGCTTCTGCAAAATGATAAAAGGATAATATTCATGTTAATGTGAAAAATTTTCTACATCATTTTAACCTATGCAATCGTAATTATATAATATTTATTCCTTATGTTATCGTCATTTACAATATTCCAAGAAACATAACTTTTATTTTGATACGTACAAATGTTATGTAATCTAGGAAATAGTATTTCGAAGAAAGATTGAAATCATTGTTTTTCTAAAGAATCATCACTGGATACGAACAAGAACTATGAATTTAAATTAGTTTTTATACTATAAGGACAAAGATTAAAGACAGATCTTTTCCATTAAACGCATTTTAATTATTCCATTCTTCAAATTAAAGAATATAAGATACTACTACGTAAGTCATACGTAAAAGTAATCAATCGTTGCTTAATTTAATATAATTAATTTTTTTAATAAAATTTTGAAAAATAGTATCATAAGATTCGTGATATTTTACGATAACAAGAAATTTTATCAGAAATTCTTTGATCGATAATTTGATCAAGTGCACAAGATTTTTTTAAGATAAATAGCTATCAAGAATGATTCGAATATATCAAAAAATTAACCTTAAAAACTTTTGTCCATTCAATCGGATTTTTTTTTACCAATTTTTACAAATTCATTGTTGCTCATATCAATAACTATAAAATCAAAATTTATGTACACAGATATATCAATTTCCTCATTTCTTTCATTTCAATTTAATAATAATCGATCAGAAATATATATATGTATTATAAGTTATTAAATCTGTAATTAATTCAATTCTTTTGCCCAAAGATTTTAATGTTTAACATTTTATCAAAATATAAAATGTGTTGATAAAATTTTAGAAAATTAGTCGGTGAATATTTGTGAAAAGAGAAGAAAAAGGCCCGGCAAATAACTGAGATAATTGGTTCATATATCGATCGATAACGATCGAACAAAAGTGTTAGTGGAAGCAAATTCTTCTATTCACTTATCACGTTTCGTTTAAATCATGATCGAGAATCGATATTCGCGTGATATTTCTACTGAATATTCGAGAAAATGGAAAACTGGTGTGACAGAAGCAGAAAGGAGAATAATGTAGATACGAATGCATATATGTGCTAAAATATGCAACATGGAAATCAGGAAGAAAAACGTTCCTTTCACGTGATGCTAACGTGAACGAGCACGTAATAAACGTATTCGTATAATATTCGTATAAGTTTTGTGCATGTATGAAAGAATGACGCGCAAATCTTGGAATTAGTAAATCTCTGCTGTCTTTTTTACCATTCATATAATACTTCAACACTTGAGATGATTTACTAAGAAATTTATGGTAAGAGAACATGTGAGAAAAAGGTTATGTTTGTATTGTATTATCGGTTATATTGGAACAATCCGTTTCCATATAGGTTAGATCTAAATTGTCACATGACGAATATGTGAGTACCACTTATATCAAATTATAGTTGATTAAAGATAAGTGAATTTAATTTACACCGTAAAATTGTGTAAATGACTGCTCTTATTTAATAAAAAATGTAATTACACCATAAAAATGATAAAGCGATAAAATTTAAATTCTGTTATTATGCGCATAGTAAAATTTTATTAGGATATTTTTTTTTATAAATTATTGAAATACCTGTATAATAATATATACATTTTTATTAAAATTTATGAATTCCAAAATAATAGTATTGCTACACCAACCAATATAATCAATAAGATTAATTAATAAGAATACAGGATTAATTATATTAAAAATTCAGTTTTAAGATGTGCAATAAAAATATTTTATATTTTAGAAATCATAATTTTTTTTAATTTATTCAAAAATAATTTTCCTATAAAATCTTTTCTTTCTATAAAATCATGAACACTATTATTCTTTTTTGTATACCTACATTCTTTCACATAACTTTATTTGAAGATAGATTTTACTTTATTAAATATATTTGAAAATTGAAAGCTTTAGAAAGAAAATTTAGAAATTTAAATTCAATTTATTCATCTATTTCGTTCATTCAATTTTCTCATCAAAAAATCTTCTATATATTAAATTAATACAACAATAATATTTGTCATCGATATTATTTTATAATTATTTTTTTTATTTTGTGTCTTTTATTTTTTTGTTTATATTCTATGCAATTTATGTTTATCTATTAATAAACATGTGCTTCCCGCACATCATTTTAATTTCATTATTATCATTTTTACTTCATAAATTCCTTTTTTTCTTCCCCTCTTATGATCATCATCATAATTTATCTACTGATCTTTGACGTAAATTATAAATTTTTCTTGTTTTTCTTAGGATAACTTAAGTAAATTATGCAAAAGTGGTCGTGGTTTGTCTTTTGCACATGACACGTGGTAACAAATTTGTGCGCATTATTAAACAAGAAAAAAACTTAACCGTGTAGGTTGAAGGATACCTCTTTCTCTCTTGTGCAGCAATTTTGAGAATTTCCGGCACGCGTTAAGTATTAATTAACTGCGATGAAGTTAAATGATGCATTGTGAAATTCTTCGTACACTATAGGTATTATCGTGTAAATATAAACGGAATTTTTAACTAAAATGCAGCTGAAATATTGAAAATTATTTGAGAAATCAATATTGAATATGAGAAATTTATAAAATATGTAATAATAATTGAACAATTCATAAAAATAAAATCTTTGTTTTAAATTTTCTTTCAATATATTTAAATTATATTAATTTAACATGTTGTCGAGAATTATGTTAATGAATTATATATATAATGTTAAGATAATTAATTAAATAAGATGAGAAAATATTAGCGTTTCTTTAATAAAAAAAAAAAAAAAAAAAAAAATATAGAATGATGAAACCGAGGAAAATCGTGAATATAACAAAAATTTATTCTAATATAAGGCAAACTTCTGAGAATTCTCAAAATATCTATTTTACTTTTAGATTTTCTATAAATAAGTTTCCACTCATGATTTACATGAAACTGTGCAAGATTTTATAAGTCTTCCCTTTAAATAGAACTAAACGGAACAATTGGATATTGATTTAAATCTGACGAGATCTTAGATGTTTCCTCTTTTTTTTTTGTCCTTCGTGATTTTTCAATGGCGTAATAACTATAGGCGCCACATTTCAGCCACGTGCCTTGAATTATGTAAAATAAATTCTACGAATAATTCATTTAAAAATAATTCCACAAACTTAGATATTTTTTTTTTTTTTTTTTTTTTTGCTTCAAATGCAAAATATTTATTTTAAGTGATTATATTATATTTCTCAAATTATTGAAAATTATTGAAAAATTCTATTCGAATTATCTTTCAAATATTTAATTATGAATATTTCATTAGCAATTCGATAAAAATAAAAATAGATCGATTGAATAAATCGTTGCCATCAAATTTCGAAATCGTTTTCCACGATTCATAACACAAATTTAAATTGGAGATCTACGATGTCATAGAAAAACATACACAAACATTGTGCTCAAAATCGTATGTTTTCACTCAGCTTTATGAATCGCTGAAAGATATTGACCATCCGTAGATAAAACAGAAAAAGATGATTCGCGAAATTCTTTCTTCTTCCGACATTGTTCTTTGAAAATTTGCAATATCTTGTTACGAAAAATTGTTGAAAACAAAAAAGAAATCCTTTTCCAAAGTTAGACACATAAAGTTTTCAAAATATTAAAATTCAAAACAACTCACCCATGGCGAGAAAGACTCTCAGTAGCTGGTTGCACGGTTGTAGTCACAGACATGTTGTTTTGATGCGTTAAAACTGCAAAAGAATAATAAGCATTAATAAGCATTAGCGAATAATCGAAGTCGCTTGTTATTGCACTTAGTATTTTATATTGTTATCGTTAATCGATCTAGATTGTACTCGTTAAAAAAAATTCCCCTAGCAACAAGGGGCTAAAATAAGGAACTAATTGCACAATAAAAACAATAGAAAATTGAAACGAAAATTCAGATGTTCGTAGTTATTTTTAACAATGAAAGAATTAAAATCGATTAATTGAAATTACGGTATATGGAACGTGTAAACGCGAAGGACACATCCGTGATAAGTTTCACCTTAGATAGCCTCACCTTGGCACAGAACAGAACATTTACTTTCCCCCTGGAGAAACGAAAGCCAACTGATACACACGGCACACGCACTGAATTCTTTATTTCGACCGATCCGAGTTTTCACGACGTAACATATTGTATAATAGCCTGTTTTATAGCCATATGCTTTTTCTTTTTTCTTTACACGATGACAATTAACGAAAATGAAATAAAATAAACTTGTCAAAAAGATTTCTGAATTTAAAATATTGTAATCATTTTATCATTTTTTTTTTTCAGTTTACCGATACGAATACGTATACAGATTGCACGGCAGTGCAGTATTGAAAATCATTTTGCACGTATAAAAAATCGATGTAGGAGTAATGCTACAATAGTAACAACATAAAACGAGATTCCAATATCGATACAGGGTCGAATGGGGGAATGTCAAGGATTTTATTATTGACACATTGGCAATGCATACCTGATTTTATTATCAACGTAGAAAAGCCTTGATGTATTCTTAGAAAAGCAAATCAAGGTGAGAAAATTGGTACACGTGTCTCGATAATGATTTACACAAACGACTTTTATTTAACACCAAAAAAAAAAAAAGAAAAAAAAAAACATTATTTATTTGTGCAGTAGAGAAGAAATATACATCGTACAGAAAAAAGATGGCGTGTCGTTTATAGATCGTTTATAGATCGAAACGATTAACAAGTTCGATTTAAAATATATTTTTATGATAGCCGATTTGATTATTACGTTTTAAAATTGGCGCGTAAAAATTGTATACATGTTGTGTGTATATATATATATATATATTGCACGGCAAATTTTAAAGTTGAATCATCGGCCAGACTTTGGAACAAACTAATTGCGGAGCAATAAATCATTGGATATTGCTAATTATTTCGTGTAGAAATTTTAACGCTTTTGTTCGTATATCTTTTCAAAATCGATATACAATAATTTACGAAGCAATAAACTGTGAATTACAAAGGAATTATGAAGGGAATAAAATAAATATTCTGGCCATTCTATCTAAACAATGTGTCGGGGGGTTTTACGTTTTCTTAACTTTATTACGTTAGAGTATTCCAGAGAATTCCATTGTTATAAAAGATGTTGTTATTTAGTACGTATTGAAACGAGTCATTTCTAGTTACGCGCAATTGTCAGATGATCCGATTTACTCGTAACGATTACGTTGTAATTTTAACTTAAGATTTCCTTTGCGATTTCGTGAATTTTTATTTAAAGTTGTAAAAAGTTGACGCGTAAAGACGCTTAAAATACTTCTCCATCGTACGATGGAATTTAAATCAGTATATATCGCATTCACAAATTGGAAGAAACTTGTTCGAAAGAAACTTGTTTAATTACCATATCAATTTAATTAATTCAGTTATAAGTATTGGTTATCTTCATCTAATCGTATAAAATACATTATACACATATTAAATGCACATTAAATGTAAATTTAATTAAGAAAAAAATAGAATATCGCCATGAATAATATTTTTTTTTCTTTATTTAAGAAATACGATTAATCGATATCATTGAGACATAGATTAAAGATTAATTAGTGCAGATGAATATCCAATTATATATATTTATATATATTTATATATAAATAAAAAAAGATTTTACGATTGGCAGACACGATGGAATGGAATCGTGGTTGGAAAAAAAATGTGTCACCTTCACCTGAAAGGAGAGAAAAATTAGAAAGAAATAAAAATACGTAACGCGTAATTTTCCAACTCGTTCGATAGTCCTGTACCAACGTATTTTATTTCACAATACGTCTGTAATACGCTTAATAACGAGGAACGTCGCGTTGTAAAAAAACCGATAAATATTTCTCTTTGACGTCATCATTGTTTGCAATAGTAAGCTTTCTTATTGAATTCGCGTGACGAATACGTGCACTGATTCACTGAAATGTTTTTACATTCTTAACTTTCAATCGTGTACACGATCGATGTTATATCTACCTTTAAAAGAACATCATGATAGGATTATGTGACTGTTATAGTTTCTTTTATAGAACCATTATTTTTTTTAATTATTTATGAAAATATATATATATATATATATAATAACGCGAAATTATAAAATGGCTACAGAATGGTTGGATAAAAAAATCGATATCGTGTTAAATTAAAAAAAAAAAAAAAAAAAGAAGTCAAGAAAAAGAATCAAAAGAAATAGAATTCGTATTTGCATAACTAAACTAAACACAAGCGCAATCGCAATAAACTTGGAAATAAATGCACAGTTTTTTCATTATCGCAAAAGGCATAATTTCCTTTAATATTCGCGCGTATGTATTTTTCGCGACCAATGAACCCGAAGTTAATTCATTATTTAATATTCATTAGATAGATGCATTTATAAAATAGAGATAAGTAATTACGTTTTCTATGAATATGTATTACGATATCGTATATATAATGAATATTTTTTGTTATTTTATCATTGTAATAATAATAATAATAAAATTTTATATTTTTTTATTTTCACGATATCGATTTACATTTATATCAATATTCTTATTGTTCAAATATTTTTTATTTTTTTTATAAGATTATATACATTTTTAATAAATAAAAGATAATAATCTTTTTATTTTATTATTTTTTTATTATTATTTTATTTTTATTATATTATTTTTTTTATTATTATCTTTTAAAGAAAAAAAAAATCATAATTATAGATATTTTGATCGTTGTCGAACGAATGTGGATCAAAATAAAAGAATAATGGAAAGAGAGCAAAGAAATTGCTAAATAAAGGATATTCTCACGTGTCTCAGAGCTACCTCATTTCTAAAAGCATTAGTACAATCGTAAAAATAGACGATTCTATAAATGTACAAGTTATTTTTAATTTAAACTCCAAAGTAGAAAATGTAGAAGAGCATCATTCTATAGTCATGTCACATTTTCAACTAAACATAGATACACATCTGAATCGATTGCATTTGTACACATTGAAAATTACGATTGGAATAATATTATTATCCAATTTTTATATATTAAACATTTTAATTTTTACGATTAACGGTTTATAATCTAGAAAAATATTCAAGATATTCTAGCATTTTTAAAATTACCAGAATATTTAAAAATACCAGAATATCTCTCATGAGATCAATAGATATATACGGTTTGACGAGATACTCAAGAATTTTAACTCTGCTGATCGCCTTTCCATTATTTTCGATTAACATCGACAAATTCACGAGATAACGAGTGTCTACTGCGCAGATAATTTTTGTCCACTCGATATCTCAATTCTCATGATACGCTTTGAATTTAATCCAAAAATTTATCGATTTTCCATACTTCGATGTTCGATTAGATACAGAAAAATTTCACCGTGGTTGAAACTTTTAATGAAACGTGAATATGACGTTACAAAGCCACAACGATGATGTATCGAAAACTTGAACAATTAGACTAAGGAATATTGACGTAATAATTGTATTATTTATATAATAAAGCGATACATAGGATTCCTTTTGAATAAAAATTGTATTACGACTATATTAAAATTAAAAGTTTATAATTCAGAGGCATATGTTATAAATAAATTATAGATACTTATATGTACCTAAACTGTACATATAAAATATTTAAGTATCGATTACTTTATCGAATGAAAAAAGTTCTTGAGATCGTATTATATTTAAAAATATAGTTCTATTTATAATTTTATTTTAAATGAATGAAGTGAAACTTCATAAAATTATTAAATTAAATTAATAGTGAATTAACGAAATTAAAGTAAAAAAAAACATTGACTGAAAGAATGAAAATCCGATTGCTTCACAACATTTTTTTACTCTCTTCATGTGACGAGCCTCTAAGATTAACATCAAGATGCTTTCGCCTCTTTCAAGCCGTTAGTTTACGAAGAAAATGGATTCGGGAACTACTGGCAAGCATCCCAAGGCGGTTAGTCCAGCGGTTATTTCTTCTTGCGATTACGATTTTTATGTTTTATTCGTACAGAAAAATTTTAAGAAAAGGGCTTGCAAATATAGGATATTATAGTTACTCATAAATAGTCTGAAGTCGTTGACTGTATTCGAATATTGTTTAGAAATTAGAAGTCATTTTATTTAATCTTGCGTTATTTCAAGTTTTATATGAATTGTGTTAAAATATAAATGAAATAAAAAAAATGATTTTAGTTTTCAAGTTAAATATTAAGAAGTTTTTATAGATATGATTTATTTGATTAAATTAAATTTAATATTTATATTTTGTTGAATTTTGTTATGATATATTTTATTTGATATTTTATTTTTTTTTATTTTTAAACGTTTATTTAATTTTTTCATGTATATATAATTTTTGCGTAGAAGATAAGACATATTTATATTGTGCAATTCGTTCGCATTCGTCTCCGATTTCAATATATTTTAAATCCATGCAATACGTGCTTGAGTTTAAAAGTGGAATATTTGTATAATACACAAGCTCAATATCTATTATAAATTATTATATTTCTTTTTATACGATTTCATTTATTTCGTATATTTCGACAAATTTTTTTTTTAATATTTTATTTCTTTATTTTTCAGAGACAAGTTAAAGATGAAAGCGGATATGTATTGTATATAGTACGCTTTCTGTTCGATTTCGATTTCGCTTTCGAGTGGGCACGGAACTAACCTAAATGTGTGACCTACCTGTAAGTTCTTCATGATTTACAGACTGGCTTAAGATGAAAATGTCAATTTATTTTTTTCCGTACTTTTAATATGATAAAACCGGTCATATTATAATTTATAAATTAACATTATTTTTTGCAAATAATTGTTTGAAAAAATTTGCTATCGAAGAAAAGTATTTACATATCTATTGCATCATATTTAATTAAGAGGCAGAAAGAAAGAATTTCTCAAAAAAAGCTTTCAATGTTATTGATTCATGACTTGAATGATACTTGTCTTTCGATACTTTGTACATTAACATTATCCGAAGGGGTTGAAACGAGGCCAACAACCCTCGAGATCACGACAGTCTCTCGAGGAGAGAGAAGCTGAATTCGAGATATCGATCGACCTCGTCGACTATTCTGGTTAAACTCCCACGCGGATGCATGGATACAAAGTGAACACGGAATCAGGTCGTTTTAACTGCGAGAGACGGAATGGAAATTCGATTTACCTTATTTTTTACAGTTTCCTGTTTGGAAATATGCCACAAAAGAAGCAACAGGAAAGCTTCTTTGTTTATGATACATGTATCTTGTGTTACAAAAACTGAGAAATATTATTGCATACTAGTTGGGAAATATCATATTAGATTATAAGAGTTTTATATTAAGAGTTTAAATACGATAGAATATTTTATATTTAAAATACAATATGATTTACATATTTAAATAATCTGAATGTTAAAATTGTTAAAAAAATTTAATCAAATCAGAATTAATTAGAAATAAGGATAAAGTTACAAATATGTGATGATTTATATGAAATATAACATTCATGTTAGTCGCGTAACAACAAAATACGTTCCACTGACTTTATATAATCGCAACATTTGAATTGTCGTGAAGCAGCGACATTGCAAGGACCTTCGTTGCATAATATTCGCACAGAATTATAAAAGAACACAATTTCTTTTTCTAGATAATAACATTAAATATGGCAAGAGAATAAAAAATTTCTCTAATGGAAAAGACACGATATATAATATAAATATAAATAATTACAAAAAGTAACGTAAAAAAAATATAAATTGTGACCTTTGCAAACATTTATTAAAGTGAAAACAGAAAACTTTAATCGTAAAATGTTTTATGACAGGAAATGAGATATGATCTTTATAAAAATTCGAAATAGAATATATTTTACGAAAAAAAACAAAAAAAAAGTCACTTTGAATTATTCTCATAAATTTTAAATATGTATAATCATATTTATGTTTAGTTAATTAAATGAAAAAATTTTAAATCTATTAAAAATAAAAATTGGTAAATAATCATAAGGTTAATCCTTTTCGTATTATTGAATTTTATGTTTAGACGAATGATGAAAAGATTGCAAGACATGCATGAAACGGGTAGGAATGCAACGAAGCGTTAACAGGATTGAGAAATTAAAATTCCACCTCTGGAATTTGCCGTCACACGAGTGGCGTAACGGGTTTCCAGCGAGCCTTTACACAAACAAACGAAGTAACATCGAGGTATGACCTCGTTCGTTGGCCACAGACGATGTCTTCGCAAAATTAACCACTCACCCGTGTACTCGTTTGTCGATCGAAACACGCAATACAAACATTCCAAACTCTTAAAAATGTTACCAACGTTACAATCAAAAACTCGACTTTGTCATATTAAAGATTTACGAATTTTTAAACAGTTGATAACTTTTTTATTAATCGAGAACGTTAAATGGTTAATAACATAAATGTTTAATAATAAGAAATAATAATGCGTCAAAAATTTTTCATCTAACGGTTCTTCGATCATCGACCTGAACTCAAAACTTTGGTCGATGGACGATCGTTGGGCGTCACAAGGAAGAACCAATCTGAAGTTAGTCATGAAGTTTGCCGTTGAGAGTATTGATTCCCACGCTACGTTCGTCTCTTCGCTTTCTATGCATGTGTCGCTTCTAAACCTTCCCCTCCTCCCTTCTTTGAATATATAAGACCCTTTTTATAGATTGTACTGTTACTTTTGAAAGCGAAACTCTGCCGTTTTCTATACAAACGAATATCATGAACAAGTTCGACGTAAAAAGAAAACTTTAGTGCTCAGCGTGCTTTCTTAAAAGGAAGGCATGGTGAAAGCATGGTGAACGCAACGTTTCAAAGAGAGATAATCCGATGTTTCGTTACAAAAGTCGCATAATGAGACACTTTATTTCAATGTTCACGTTTCATCAAATTAAACATCGATTCAATTTTTTTTTTAACACACATATATTCATGTACACTATTGTTCTTACACAAATATTAACGCGATCTGCGACGTTTGTAATGCGGATTTGTGTGCGCATGGCAATGTGTATAAACTCTAAAACTTACATTTCGTAGAAATCTTCGAAAACTGGACGGCAGATGAAGCACAAAATATGCGCACTGTCTTTCACTACGTTTTCGAACTTTGATAATCAAACACGTACGAAACGTCGAACCTCGGCGAATAAGCGACGGTTACGAATTTCGTATGAAAAAGTCAAATCAGACAGCAAAGACAGCAAACAGCTACGATGTTTTGAGTCTGACTGAAGGTAGTGCAGTTGTGTGGGAGCCTTTTATAACCGCGGTGTGGGTTGGGCATCGTGGCAATCGTCGGACGGTGCGATAGTGGGGAGAGAGGAAAGCTGAGGCAGAAAACCCCCATCTGCGCAAGTACGAATAACTGTGTGTGTATGTGTATTTAAGATTGTTGTGTGCGGACACACATGAAGGAGCAGGGATTCTCCGCGCGTGGCGCCGGCGTGTACGGACACATGTTCATAAATAAATAATGAACAGCTCGTACGATAACGAATCTTATCGCTGTTGAATTTTAGAGATTCGATGATGAAGAAGACGTAGAAATTTTACTGATCTTTGTATTTCAAGAATAACGATCGTTTTAAAAATATACATATATTTTATAATATTGAAATTTCAAACTATAATTTTATATCTTCGATGGAAAGCGATGTTGTAAGAATAAGGAAAACATACTTGACAAACTTTTATATAGTTACAGATGTATGTAGGGGAACAAGGAATGCAATCAAAGACAAAAAGATCTCCCACGCAGCAGGATATAAGAACCCCAGGAAACGAAAGGCAGTGTCACGTGTGCACACACCCCGCCAAATTATGCGGAAAAAAAGAAAAGCGTAGGTTTATCTTTAACGTTAAAATGTCACCGCCCTCGGTGTTGCATTCATAAGCGGGCATACATCAAGCCACCTTTTGCAGATTAGACGCGGCAGGGATTCTCAAATTCAGCAATGCGCTATTGGTTATCTATCGATTTCTTGTCGTCTTTATGCTTTCTGCGTTTAAATGAAGGAACAAAGAAAAAAAAACGCGCGATTTATCATTCTTAAATTACAATCCATAATGTTAAAATTAAAAATTAATTTAAAATTAAAGCATTTCAGAAATTAAATTATCCGGCTCCTTAAAATTATAATATTTAGAGTTCAAGACAAGATATATTTTTATCGTTCTTGTTTTTCTTTATTCTATCTTAACATTTTTTAATCTTATAATTTTATTTTTAATTTAATATTCATTAGATGTTTTGGAATTTTAAATATTAATTATTTCAATGTTTTTGAATGTTGTGTATACAACAATTGATTATATTTATATTTTAATTAAATTTCTACACTACATTCAATTCTATTAAAACAATTAATCGACCCTGAAATTACAAAAACGATTATACAATATGAAACTTATACTTAAAGAAATAGTAAGTATAAGTAGTAATACTTAATATCAAGTAAAGATTACTTTTCGTTCGATTTTTTTGAATTTTTTGCAAAATTTTATGCACATACTATTTACAAAATCGAAATTTTATTCTGGCCTATTGTTTCCAATGCAAATATCAATTTTAATCATTTTCAATGTAAATATTAAATCTTCAGTAATATTTTCAAACTCGATCAACAAATAAAATTTTTAAAATTAAATTTATATAATTTTAAATTCTATACTTTCGATGATGAATTACTTTTCCTTAAGTTTTTAAATTTTATAACAAAAATTCAATAATAATCGTGAATTTATTTAATTTTAAATATCGATTCTTACGATATTAATGTTTTTTTTTTAGAACGAAGAATGATTTTTGAAATAATTTTTGAGTTTATTTTTCGTCAAAATTCTTCGAAATATATTGCTTTAAAAAAAAAATCTGAAATAATATTAATAATTAATAAAAAGTGGAAAAGTATAGAAACGTAATATTAACCATCTTGTCTTTAATATTAATAACTAAGGAATTTTAAGATAAGAAATCAGAAATGTTGATTATCGATAGATACATAATCATTAGATCGATTATTAAAAAAAAAAAAAGGTATTTATCGATTTATTGATATTTTCGATAAAAGTATAATGAAAAGGATAAAATAAAATATTTACTTCGGATATTAAATATTAAAAAAATTTCTGTAACTATAACAAGTATTTATTGTATTTATTATAAACTCAAAATGTCGTTAAGATATACACATACTTTTTCTGTAATTATTCTTTTAATCTTTTCTTATCTTTTAATCTGCTTCATGAAATTTACATTCTACTAAACAGATATTCATGTAAATTTAACATTCCATAACACGATGATCTCGTTTAAAAGCCACGTTAATTAAAGAACCTATTTAATCGGTCAAAAGTTTGTATCATAAACGTTCGTATCATATCTTCTTCGTAATAATCTCAGATATAAAGATAAAAATAAGCTAAAAATTTCTAAATAAACGGATTTTCCCAATATTATTTTTCAAAACTTTTTTTTAAACTTATCAATAAATATTTAATTTATCTCTATAATATATCTTATTATTTAAAAAAAAAGAAAACGCGCGAATTATATTTAATCACAATAATTCTACCTATTTTAAAGAAAAATTCTTCCTTTCCTCCAATCCATCCATGGCTAAATATATTTCTCGAAATATTCGACTAAAAAATAATAACATTCGTATGAATGAATTTTTCGAGATTCGTATTTTATATTCTGTCGATATTCTGTGTATCTCTGTGTCATAAATTTCACGCATCTTGAGACGCATCGTCGTCAAGAAAAAAAATTCGAATGCTCAAATTTAATTCATAAGCATAATATTATTCGACTTGTTCATGTATAACAGTTTTAAAATCGTGACTATACGGAAATTCGTATGATACAAGCAGCTAAACTCGAATATTCGAATAAGCGTCTTGATTTATTTATAACATTACATGTACCTAAGAGAGGGCCATCTTACGCGCGAACGAATATCGCATGCTTCGTTCGTCTTCATCGTTTTGAATCATGTAATCGGATAAAAGAGGAGATCTCGATGGACTAATTCAAATTCGAATTTATACGTATAAGAAATACGCGTGTATTTAAAGTAATACACTTATTCATCTGGATTATTTTAAACTGATTCATAATCGGTGTATATATATATATCGGTGTATACGTATATACACACATGCAGTTATCTCTGATCATATTGAGTCGAGCAATGAACAATTCATTGGCCGAATCGTGGGCGTTCTCGATCAACGTTCGCCTCGTTCACTTTGCACGAAATGTAAGCGAGAAAAATATCCAAGTTCAATTGATACACAAATATTTGATAAATCAAGCACGATGATGATAATTTCAAAGAGTGTGGGTAAATACATCGATGTAATGAAAGAAAGAGAGAGATTCTCGTAATCGTTAATTTTCACTATTCCGATTAAATGTTTGTTTGAAGAGTTTTATACGTACTTCGCAAAAATTTAAACGCGATGATGCAATTAATAATAATAATCGTTATCTGTTATTTCAATAACAGTCAACAATTTGTATTCCTTTGGATAATAAAGAAGTATATATATTTATATTTAAATATATATTCAATTCAATTAAAATAACATTCTCTTCGTTCCATTTAACGAATTTAATTTTCTTGATCCGTAAATTTAATCGAAGAACAAACGTTAACGTTAAACGAATCGTTCGTCCATTTTTATTTCGTTTTCGAAGCCCGAAATTTTCTTTGTTTCTAAGAGAATCGCATTTGTTCGCAACGTGTTTTGTAAACGTATTTTCCCAATTTCGCTCGATCATCGTTTGCCATTTCGAGAAAATCCATGCATTTAATCGAATAAACCCGTCGCGAATTATGACATCGCAGATTTTATGCAGCGATAAGATTCGATGTACACTTTTGTTAACCTTTCCTCCGACCCATCCATGGCTAAATATATTATTTCTCGGATTCGACTAAAAATAACGTATTCGTATGAATGAATTTTTCGGGATTCGAGATTTTTTTTTTTTTTTTTTCACTCGCGATATATTCATGTATCTCGTCATAAATTCCACGCATTGAGACGCGGAAAAAAATCGTCGTGGAAAAAAATTTGAAAAAAAAAGGCGCGCATATTTCTCGAAGAATCTCGAGATCGTTCGAAGGATGGAGTTTAAAGCATCCTGGATTTCATGGGCTTTCGAAACTCGTCCGTTTCGCTCGATTAAGTTTCAAATTTTATTTCGACGAATTTTTAAAGATCAAATTTCGCTCCATCTCTGATCAAAAGTTTGCCTCGAGGATTGCTTGCCCGCCATTTAATCGCGCGTTCTCGTGCGATTTCTGAAGTTTCAAACGAAATTAGAAAGCACTCTGGATCTCGTGGATTTCGATAATTTCGAGAGAATTTCGACGGTTCGGTAAATTTCGAATTATGTCTCGATGAATTTAACGATAAAGTTTCCGCTCCATTTCTGATCGAAAATTTGCCTCGAAGATCGAGTCGCGTGTTTAAATCGTCTTGCGATTTATAAAATTTTAAAAAAATCCAAAAAACATCTTAAATTTCATGGACTTCGAAATTTTGAAAATTTTGACGAATTTAACGAAAATTTCATTTCTGATCGTCAAAAATTTGTCTCGAAGATCGAGTCGCGTATTTAAATCGTCCTGCGATTTATAATATTTAAAAAAATCCAAAAAACATCTTAAATTTCATGGACTTTGATAATTTTGATAATTTGAAAATTTTGACGAATTTAACGAAAATTCCATTTCTGATCGTCAAAAATTTGCCTCGAAGATCGAGTCGCGTGTTTAAATCGTCCTGCGATTTATAATATTTAAAAAAATCCAAAAAACATCTTAAATTTCATGGACTTTGATAATTTTGATAATTTGAAAATTTTGACGAATTTAACGAAAATTCCATTTCTGATCGTCAAAAATTTGCCTCGAAGATCGAGTCGCGTGTTTAAATCGTCCTGCGATTTATAATATTTAAAAAAATCCAAAAAACATCTTAAATTTCATGGACTTCGAAATTTTGAAAATTTTGACGAATTTAACGAAAATTCCATTTCTGGTCGTCAAAAATTTGCCTCGAAGATCGAGTCGCGTGTTTAAATCGTCGTGCGATTAAACAAACAAAATTTAAAAAAAAATCTCAAAAAGCATCCTAAATTTCATAGGAGTTCGATAATTTTACGAGAATTTCAACGCTTGGTTAAATTTCGAATTACGATGA